GAAAATATTTCTAGAGAATTTCGCTTCGCAATTACGTTGCATGCATATCATTTCCGGTATGGAAGAGCAATTTTACAAAACGCAATTTTCTTCATTGCCTGAGTCGCTGTCGCTATCTGTGCTAGGCTTGTTGAAAATATATCGATGTATCGATATATCGATATTTTTTTTTCGATATATCGATATTTTTTGCCGATATATTTTGATTCGATATATCGATACATCGATACAAAATAACCAATATCGAAATTCGTATCAAAAACGATATTTTTTTAATTATTAGCGGCATATCACGATCTAACTAAATTCGTATCTGGAAAAATCGTAACTGGATCTCAGATTAATGATATTCAACATATCTATGATCTGTGCTGTATTTAGTATTGTCTATGTCATCATTCAAAAATAAGGTCTATTTGTAGGGAGATAATTTTCGTTCCATTATTATTCCGCGCGTCATATTTCGTGATCTAAAGTACGATATTTTTGGGACAATTGGTTCGATATATCGATATATCGATGTTTTTTTCGCGATATATCGAAGCCGATATTGATATTTTTTTAAATATCGATGTATCGATAAGTCGATATTTTTTTCAACTTTCGACATCCCTAGTCTGTGCGCTTAGATCTTTTAAACTACGCAACGATTTTAATAGTTTTTAGCAACAAATACAGCGATTAAAAAGCTTATTAGGTTTATATGTAAAATACAGGCGTATTGTATTGCAATCGTGCGAAGCCGGCGCGGATCGCTAATGTTTTATTATTGGAACGAAGTTCCTTTTCATACGTTATGGCGAAACGGGGCTAGGCAATGACGTAGACAGGTTATACGCCAACATTATTGCATTTTCAAATGGCACAAGTAGTCCTCGCCCCAACTTCCCTTCACAGCCACCAATAGAGTGCACTAATGTAGCCTCTTTCACTCTCATTCATAAAGCAAATTACATCTAACTCTTTAGCCTCCATGTGTCAACGCTGTCAGCAACTGACAAAATAAGTAATCACTAAATATTTTTACCGGTTTCGAAAATACCGGTAAATAAAGGTTAACACCGGTTTTTAGTAAAGGTTTCGTTCGGAGCGCGTCCGAAATGAAAGCGGTACCTAAAACCTTAATAACCGGTTTAATCCAGAGCGACACGTGCACGCGTCGGTATCGCTTGAAATTTGTTTTGTTTGAACTAATCAAGTCACAACTTGTTAATGCTCAGAGATTGATGCTTTTATTGACACGTTTGCTAGCGTCTATGGAGTCAAGTAATTCATTTATTATCGATGCCGTCATAAAGAGCGAAATGAAACCCTTTAAAAACCGCTAAATTAATTCAAAACCTATTTGATTACGCTCTTTAGGAAAACCGGTTTATTATGGTTAAGGTAGAGCCAAACCTAAATAAAACGCTCCTAATGTACTTGACACTGATTTAGGTTTGAAAATGAACCGATAAACAAGCTCTGGTACTTACGAATGAAATGACACGCTTTTCCTGTTTCTATTAAGTAGTTCCGCCCGTGTATTTTGTGTATTATCTAAAAACACACATAGGGCTTTTTGTCTTGAAATCCGTACAATATTTACTTGTTGTAGCGAAGTGTAGCCGTGGCGACATAGCGTGCCTGACTGAATGCAAGTCTGGCAATTACCTGACTTTCGTATTGCCAAATTAGAAGCGTGTATTACGTATCTATAACTTTAAAACAGACTTTATGGCGGGATCGGAAAGCGACACTTTAGCAGTTTTGCTTTTCTTGTTAAAAATTGTGTTGTGGCGGATTTTAGTGTCTAATAATGGTGGTTTATTAACCACTAAGTGTTCGGGAACATGCACAAGTGTTGGCAAGTAAAACAAAATAGCGGAAAGTGTCTTTTGACGTTCCCTCAAGAAGTCCACGGGGAGGTTCCAGTAAATCCCCACACGTTTACTGAAACATGGGGAAAGGGGGATTGACTTGACTGCCACTTACTTTGACTTGATTTATTAATTTGACCACGAGTGCTATAGTATTTGTAAATATTTTAACATTTGACATTGGCTAAATGCACAAGCCGTGCGAAGCCATTAAAAAAAAAATCAAAACATCAGGCAATAAATTTGTAAGATTTTTCCGTCACAACCTAGCGAGACAGATAACTGAGCTGGGCAGCTGGGTACAGTGGCGGACTAAGCCCGTATGAGGCCCGGGGCGGCAAAGATGAATGAGAACCTCCAGCCACGCGGTAATATTATCTATACAGTATTGTGACTCCGCCCTGTCCTTGAAAATAAATGCCTACACCGAGCGCTGCGTTGGCACGCGGTAGGGCCGCCAGCCTACAGTATTTTATGTAGTTTTGTTTTTAACGCGAGTGTAGGTAGATTACTCGTTTGTCTCTTTTTTCATCCTAACCACTTATTTATATATTATTCCAGATATTTTGCCCGATGGAAAAACCGAAATAACTAAATATTAGAAACAAATAACGTACTAGTAGATAGGTATATAAAAAATATTCTATAAAGGTAAGACACCTTTCCAATATTTCAGGTAATTTAAAAAATGATATCTCTGGGTGTGTTATTGAAGAGTTCAAGCAACCAAAAACAGCAAAATTGTGCTGTTGTACGATATTGATCGTCGTTTGTTCTTTTCTATACTAAATTATGTAGGTATCTACTTAATTAAATCAAATATTTACAATACAAAACGCATGTTTAAGCACGGCTAACTGCATAAAAAACAATGACTGGGTGCACGCCGGGAGCACATCGAACTCGAGTGGCGTAGGTATGACTCGCTTTCCACCGTTTGTATGAAGATAGAATACTGTATGATATTATTACCGTGCCCCAGCTTTAAAAAAAATGTAGATTCTTATGTTTATTTCGTTAAAACCAGTCTTGTCAAATTCACCATAACTTTGTATCAGATTGTTAACTGCTACAACCAGGGTGTCATCTGAAGCTTCTAGCATAAACTTTGTTTCAATAATTGTGAAAATATTCTTGAAATGTTTAATAGCCCAATTCGAGAATTCTTGTATTAAGCGGTCTATGCATTCATACATAGATCGACGTATTTCTTCTTGAATTGATTTTTACCTTCACTTTTCCTGGTTTCTTGATGTTGATGAACCACCTAAATACTTATTCAAGGAGTTTAGTTTAGTGATTCCTGTATCCAGAGTCATTTTTGGAGACCGCAAATATTGTAAGACTTAAATAGAATGTAGCGAATGTAAATGTATGCGTACAAGAGTAAATTATTTGCACTGCATTCATTCAGGGATTCCTGAGGAAGTACCCGCTACAAAGACGGGAATTCTCCCAGCGTTTTGGACGCGTTCAGCAAAGTTAAAAAATATTAATACCGCGTAAAAAGTCTAGATTACTGTAGTGTTTTGATCTTGATGAAATTATGTAGGTAGTAAATACATTTTTGAAGTCTTGTTTAGGATTTGATGAGGGTAACGCGGAGGCATTTCGGGGCCCCCCAAGATCGTAGGCCAGGGGCGGGCCGCCCCTTCCGCCCCCCTGTTAGTCCGCCACTGGCTGGGCAGCTAGACGGGCGACTACTGACGGCGGTGGCTGTGGTGGACTTGGTTTAAAGTTGTTTTAATACTTCGACGGAACCAAGGGCTCGGTCCATATTAGTGGGTGGTACACAAATATTTTCTAACTTCGTTCCAACCGTGTATTTCACGGCACTAAATTTTTTACTTTCTGTGGTCACGTTAACTATACCTTCGGTACACACGGCAGACTGCCGTGCTTGGCTGGCCACAGCACCGGCTTTTTGGTTCACTCGAACGTTGTATTTGCATAAATTTCTCATAATTCACTCGTCTTGTTAGTAAGTGGAACAGTGAAAGGGTTTATCGTATTAAATGTGTTACAGATTTTGGATTGGTGTAATTACTGGATTTGATTTGGACATATGAATACTTTATGATTACCTAAGTTCGTAATATTTAACATACACTCACACGACGCACGCGCAAATAGCAAACGTTCAAACAAATACATTCCGCCTCATTCTAAAACTGGCACTCAGACCCGTCTTTCCCAGTGGGCACCTTGGGCAAGTGCCCAGGGCCCTGCGATCAATAGGGGCCCCCCTCAGGTCAAATACAAAGTCCCTAGTTCCTACAAAATCACCAAACGGAAGTCATAGGGGCCCCATTATCCTAATATGCTCAGGGCCTCCAATAGGTCAAAGACGGCACTGCTGACACTTACGTTAGATTTGGTTTAAACCTTATACTGTCTTTGTCTTTTGCTTTAGCAAACAAAAGTGACAACTTCGTTATATACGGGGTTTAACTTTCAGTCAACGTTTGTAATAAGGCGGTTTGAGTTTATAGAATACAAATAAAATTCTTATCCAGTTACGGCGTGACACAAAGTATTAATAAACAGTTTTTAAGGATTCATTATATATCCTTAAAAACTCTTTATTAATAGACAAAAGCAACACATGATTCAAGAAGATGAGTTTAACAAATATTGAAACGATACACAAAACAAACAGACAAAAATGGCATGAAACAAAAATTGAGGAATAGAGTCTAGTCGGCCCGTCGCACAGTGCGCGGAAACGATCAAAACTACGCGCGAGGCAGTAAAACTAATCCAAATGAGATCATTTTTTAATACTCGTAAGTATGTCTGCTTTCTTGTAGCACTGAGGAAATTCACTTTTTAGGGGTACAAACCAGGGGTGGTATCAACCCCTAAGCAGGCTAAACCACCAGATTCTGGATAAAAAGGGTTCGATCAACTACATATTTATAAGGAAATATATATTTTATACACAGATAGGCTATTTTATTATATATGTATATTTCATTTGGATTAGATTTGCTGCCTCCCACGTAGTTTTGAGCGTTTCCGCCCACTGTGCGTCGACGAGAGACTTTTCCTGCCAGTTTCAACCAGGTCCGCGTGCAGCTCGAACAATACCGAGCCTCGTCAATAAAATCAACACAATATTTAGGTAAGGATCTGTCTCACCGTGATGTACCCGAGCATGACCATCGGGCCGTCGACCAGGGACTTCCTCCTGCCAGTTTCAGCCAGCGCCGCGTGCAGCTCGAACAATACCGAGCCACGCACTCGGCTCTCCGCTGTCGCATAACATTCAAAATCTTTAAAATTATGGTTATTTATTTAATCTCAAAATTAATTGATAATCATAATCAGAATCATTCATGAATGTTTAGAAGCTGGAGTAGCTTCTAAACATTCGTCGGTTCGTAAATCTACCGCGGGAGACTTTGTACTGAGTAGAACCGGCAAGAAATTTAGCAAAGGCTGTGTTTTTCTCCTTCCCATTGAAGGTAACGGGGTTATTGAGGTGGTTGGAAGTCGTTTTTTACTAAGAGTAAAAGTGTTATGGTATATGACCAACAATGCTAACATACCCAACACTTCAAAAAGTTTTCCTCTAATATTACGGCATGAATTATTTCTTCATGTTATTTTCAACTAGCTGTGCCCTGCGGTTTTACCCGTGGTATTATATTTTCCCGCAGTAAAACGTCCAAAAGCCTATGTGTTAATCCAGGATGTCAGCTAATTCCATACCAAATTTTATTAAAATCGATCCAGCCTTTTAGACTTGAAGAAGTAATAAACATACACACTCAGAAACTTTCGCCTTTATATGTATACTAGTTGTGTACCCGCGGCTTATTAGGGATATTTTCCCGCAGTAAAACGTAGCCTATGTGTTAATCCAGAATGTCAGCTAACTCCATACCAAATTTTATTAAAATCGCTCCAGCCGTTAAGACGTGAAGAAGTAACAAACATACACACTCACACACTCACAAACTTTCGCCTTTAGAATATTGGTGTGATATTTTAAGGTGATAATCCATATATTTCTGTTTATTATTTGGCAAATAATTATGAAAAGAGGTAATGTAAGTTGTTTGTCTTATGGCAGTCTGTCATCTCTGTCCACTCTACTCGGGAGCCTACCCGGGAAGACCCGGCGTGACGTAGAGAGAGATGTTTGTACGTACAAAAAGGCCTTACTTCTTAAAACAGAACTAATAGATACAGAAAATTAAGGACTAAGAAAATGTAAGAAAAACCGGTCGCTCAGCATAATGTACGTTATATATCCATAACTATAATTGCTGTTTCTTCTTTCAAATGTTTAATACTTGAAAAAGTATTCATTTGACATTGTGGGTTACCTACAATGCGAAGAGATGGCGCTGCCTTGCAGTTTAAGGCTAGGAAAATTTCGACGCGGCCAATAGGGCCGTGGTAGCATAATGGTCAGTGCATTCGCCCGGATTGCGAAGGGTGCGGTTTCGAGTCCCGTCCGCTGCCTGGTCCGCGTGGATTTTTTTCTAGTAAACTTTTCTTTAGATTTAAACATCTAGCAGTTAAATGCTTAGAAATAAATAAAAACGTAAGTTATATATGTTTAATTTCTTCTCCATGATTATTCTTTTGTTTATGAAAATTGCTGATGAAAATGGGCAATAAATAATTGTTAATAGCAATGAAAACCTGGTGACAGTGTCTCCAGTAAGTCGGCAATCTTCTTGCAGAGCTGCGTCTTGAGGAGCAGTCGGTCGTCGGTGACGCCGGCCAGCCCCAGCTCGTGCTCCTGCCCCACCAGCTGCGCCAGCGCCAGGCTCACATCCGTCATGTAGTGGTGGTTCGGGTGGAGGTAGCTGCTGCAGTGAGCGATGAACCTGGACAGAACAACGGGACCGCTGGTGAAATGGCGTGCAGTTAAGGATTCCCAAAAGAATTTCATGTCTGTAAAGTCGGTTTAGGGACGCTTCTTTTGCGTGATAACGTGTTGTTCGTTGTTTTCCACGGAGCAATTTTGTTTGGCTTTTGGTCCCGGTTGGTTTAAGCTAAATACGCCTCTGTAGCACTATGGGGGTCCGAATTAGGCTCCGCGGGGGTAAGGTAATCTTTATGTAAGGGTTATGGGGTAGGGGGATCGAAGGAACTCCTCGACCACACCTCATACACACCGCGGAACATTGAACTAACGTGACATGACGTCACATAACATGACAACTTTTTTGTGCGTGCAGCCGATGTTCATTGATTGAGTTATCATGTCAAAACTTAAGTTACCGCCAGGGATAAATATCTCTGGGCTCGTCTGTCAAGATGGGAGTTCCGCAGGGCTAAGGCGCTTGGTCCTTTTTTATTTTTATAGATTGGTGTGTGGCGGGATATTCATCACCGTCATCAGCAAATTAATATCCTCATTGCGGTATTCTGTACAGGCACCGTGGTTGCAAAACTGAGGTTTTATTAATTTATGATGAGCAGAATTTTATATCTTCTTAAAATATTTATGTCGTTTAAAGAATTTGAGAAAAGAAAAAATCTGGTTGATTATTTATTTAATTCTTTCTAAAAGTGTTTTTTTTGTTTAATCCTAATTATACGGTAATTATCCATCTTCAGATCCAAGTAAGGAGATCTTCTGAGAAATACTGGCAACACTCCTGAAGAGAGCGGATTTCCCGCTCGAATTGGGGCGCCCGTCTTGGGAAGTAACTTCCGACTTAAAAAAGACACAGTAAAAGAACAATCCGTTTTGGTGGTATTGTTTTTATGTCAGCGAGTAAGGTTCCAGAGGAAGAGGAGCTCGATGGCGTAAGTGATTAACGCGATCGGCTGCGATCGTAAAAGTTAAGCAACTTTCGCAGTGGCCGGTCATTGGATGGGTGACCAAAAATTACTATCTCGAGCTCATTCGTGCTTCGGAAGGCACGATAAGCCGTTGGTCCCGGCTGCATCTGCAGTCGTTAGCACCCACCAATCCGCACTGGGCCCGCGTGGTGGGTCATGGCCTGATCTCCCTATTCCATCCATAGGGAAGGCCTGTGCCCCAGCAGTGGGGACATTAATGGGCTGATGATGAGGCAACGGTGCGTGTGATATATTCGGTATTGCAAATGTCTAGTGGCTATGGGAGCCGCTTACCATCAGGCGGTTCATGTATACAACAAGATGCAATAAATGAATATGAATACATACATTCGTACTCGTACACACTTTTAACATAAAAAAAATATGGTCGCACACTAAAACATACCTCTCACAAGCATCTGGATCCCCCCGGGGCATGATGCTGAGCTCAGTCCCGATGTCCTGGAGCAGCTGCTGAATAATGGCGTCAGACACAGCATCTTGACAGTTGTTGCATATCCACATCTTGTCGTCCAGGTTTCTAGTCTTCGGGTCGGGGTTCTTTGTTTTGTGCAGGATCGGCAAGATGAATGTCTTCGGCAAAAGGTAACCTTTGCAGTCTCTGTAAGCACAGCAGATAGGTACATCAAAAGCTATAAACATGGCTAATATTTCGTATAATGCGATTGAACTAAGAATAGGACCGACTGGACGCCATATTGTGATGTCATAGCTGTCAATTCAAACCAAATAGGTAGAGTGAGCAAAAAAAAATGTTTTTTTTTAATAAAACTTATTTACTAAGATTAAGTGAGAAAAAGCATCAGATTTTTTAATAACATTTATTTACTAAGATTGAGAAAAAAATCACCGATTTTAATAATATTTATTAAGACTGTGAGAAAAACATCAATCAGAATCTAGCTCTTCTATTCCGCTCATCTCTGCATTACCGCCGGAGTAGTTATGAATAATCATGCACTATAACTAGGTCACATACGAACATGCATCCTTTATGTAAATGAAAGTTTGAAATCGAGTTTCTGAATGCAACTTAAAGTGACATTTGGTTGACGATTTAGGTTATCAACCATTCATGACCAAAGCTCAATAAGTGAAAAAAAAAATATCAACGATATTAATTATCAATATTTGTTATTGTTTGTTTACAAATGTTTGGTTTTTATTCTTGAATTAGCGGAGTGCTAAAAAGGGTTCCAAGTTTTTTTTGCAAACCGTACTTTTCAAGCGACATTTGACAGATAGAGGTCATTGGCTTTCCTATTCTTATTTGAATCGCATTATATGTACAATTTTTTCCATATTGTTTTGCAAGAAAAACCGCACATAGAATTTAATTTGACTCATAAAATGACTGTATCTCCGCATCGCAGACGACCCCTTTGGCTCAAATGGCATGTACTCTGGTTTTGAAAGTGTCGCTTTATCGGAGGTCCGGGGTTCAAATACTGGTGGGTAAATTTTTGTGTGATGATAATTTTTCTGCATGTATGCGTACCTTTTTGTATTCTATCCGTTTCCCTAGTATCCCAAAACACAAGCCTTACAGTGCTTTGGGGCTAGGCTAATTGGTTTGTGTGTGTAAATATTTTATGGACATAGTCATACGATCGGTAAGCTATTTACATGTGTCAAATAGTACCTTGAGAATCATAATACTGTAATTTGAAAAAGAAAGTTAGTATTGCGATTGTAGAATCTGTGTCTAGGGACAGATGATATCGTTCGTACTACTTGTTAAGATATATTGTTATATGTTAAACTTTAGTACACTATATACTCTGTGGTTGTACATATAATCCTTTGCTTTACTTTTTATGGAAAAAGAGTGTAAAGGTTTGTCTATGTAGGAAGTAAGTAATGTCGTTCTACCTAACTCTTTGCCTAACCTATAAGATGTGAATGTCGTCCCTTTTTCCACCTTGTGCTCTACAGCAATAAACGTGTGCCGCCATCATACAATTTTTGCATTTCACTTCAATATAACAGTCCCACGCTGCTGCATTCGATCCAGGCCCTGTTGAACACTACTCACTTCTTCTTGCATTTAACAGCGCTGTACATGGTGCCGAATTCTGTGACGTCAGAGCACCGTTCGCAGCTGCACTCGAAGAATTTGGAGTCAGCGAGGTGGTGGCGCCGCGCCTCCGTGCCCCATAGCGGGTCTGAGTAGCATATCGATATGTGCGACCCACTGCTGATGTTCACGCCAGCACTTAAGATCTGTGCAATGAAAATAATGAACACTAAAGAGAAGGAGTTATGACAGATAGGGAAGGATTCATTATAGAATTCCAGATCATTAAGAAGTAAATGATATATTCATTAAGCAAGATGTGACGATTTGTGACTTCGAGGAAGTTTACTCAGAACTCAGGGTAAACATTGAGTGAAAAAAATTATTGATTGCATGTCAAAATCTGTTAGATTCGTTCATTTTATGCATGACAAGCTTTTGCCCGCGACTTCGTCCGCGTTTTCGTCGTTTTTCGTAAAAAAGTAGCATATGTCCTTCCTCAGGGTTCCGTGGTTTTGATGTGACAGACAGATTAACTTTCGTATTTTAGTAGGGAAATATAATATGTCAATCCACAATACTGTTAGAAATATCGCAATAAGGAACCGCAGAATATTATTATTATCACTGTGCCCCGAGATCATCAGCATGTAACTCCTTGTATGTTATTATGTTAATGTATTGGTAATATTGTTTAGATCGCTTTCACATGAGGCTTAAGTACATATAGAATGAAAATACTTCAGCGCAAAGCTTCCGGGTAAAGTACGTTAAAAGTTGACCCGTCCGGCACGTGAACATAAAAAATTCTAGGACTACTAACCCGGGCAAGAGCGACATAACTGACCATGTGAAAAACAACTGACACCGAGATCTACTCCAGCATTACGAAAAGTCTGCCCTTGAGCCTTATTTATTGTCATTGCATAACACACCGATACTGGGAATTGCGTTCTTTTAAATTAGAATGGAAAATTATTTGGTATCATGGGAATTCTGGGAGTAAAGATGGTTTCTCCTGCACCGCAACCTATTGAAATTTGAACCTCGATTACATTTTGTTGCGACTGGGTTACTTTAAGCCGAGTTCCATTGCAAAGTTGTGGTGGTCTTAAATTTCGGAGCAGAATAATCGGAATGCCAATTTTTAAACAAATTTCATGAGAAGGAAGTACGGGCATATTTAAAGAATTTAAAAATTCTATCGGGTAATTAGTGGCTTCTTGTTCATCGGCCATTCTATTTATTGAACTATAAACTTTGCTTTCCCCCTGGATATTCGACAGTATTTTATTACTAATCTCAGATGCCTGGTCATTGCGAAGAGTTAAAATGGACCTTTCGCGTAGCCAAGAATTGTCCTTATTTAATATATATTTGTTACGTCACCGTAAACTGACGATGTAAGATGTTGTTGGGATTGCACTATACAACATAACTCAGGCGTCAGAATAAGTTTTCCTTGGTGTAGCAGTGGATAGGTATCTTTGGTGAAGGTATTTTCTTTAATAACATATCAGAAAATTCACGATCATCCGGGTTATCTACAGTTCTCACTCGCATGTTTATAGTCAAATGCACCGATGTATATCACGCCACAAATAAGAGCTTTTCAGGCAAGCCTTAACCTCATCAGCTCGGGTTCCCCGTGGTATTACCGGTAAGGTTTGTCGGAAATCACCACAAAATAAAACTGTGATACCGCCCATTGCTCGATTATTTTGTCTTATATCCCTTTAAGTTCTGTCTACCGCTTCTACTCCTTTTCGATGGGCCATCGTACATTCATCCCATATGATTAAATTACACTTTGAACGAATATTTAAACACTACCAAAACAACTACCTCTAAGGCTTCATCGGAAGCGATCGTCCCCCAGGGGGGGGGGGGGGGAGCGACGCAGAAAACAGATTTAGACAGCTCGCTCTCGGACCTCCCGCCTTTTACACAAAAATAATCCTTATAGCATGATTCAGTATTCACGTGCGACGGCGCGTTCGACATTATTTCATGTATAAGTTTGGTGTTTCTATACCGATTTCTATGTTTTGTTTTTATTGAAAAGGTAATAATGTTAACTTTTTTAAATTAGGGATGAGTCAGAGTATTATAAACGTAAGAGTAAACAAATATGATCAGAATGCTCCGAACTGCTAAGCTATCGGGAGTTACACGTGTTATTGTGAGTCAACCATAAAAGATAGACATATGCTGCTGCGGTATATTTTTTAGACAATTTTATGTAGAATATTTCCGTCATACATGATTTCTATGTAACTTTAATCATTAAGGCTGCACACGCGACGGAAGCTTAAAAAATATAGTAATTTCTCCCGTTTTCCCAACATTTCCCTTCACTACTCTGCTCCTATTGATTGTAGCGTGATGAAATGTATACTATAACCTGCCCAGGAGTATGAAGAATAATTGTACCAAGTTTCGTTAAAATCCGTCGAGTAGTTTTTGTTTCTATAAGGAACAAACACACAGACAGACAGACAGACAGACAAAACATTTACTGATTGCATTTTTGGCATCAGTATCGATCACTAATCACCCCCTGATAGTTTTTTTTAAAATATATTTCATGTACAGAATTGACATCTCTACAGATTTATTATAAGTATAGATTATACTCAAGTTTCCGTTAAGGTTGAGGCTAAATTTTTTTGGATTTTGTTTTTCAAATGTATGGCATAAGTGATTTTGTGAATCTAATGACGATACTTACAATTTCTCCATCAGATGTGAAACTCTTATTGCAGTTGGCTTTACAGCTGTGTTCAGCCATGGAGATGCGGTCAAAAACAGCCAGGTAATCTGGCTCCAATAGAGGCACCTCATGCCCGTTAATCTGACAAAAAAATATTGGATCCAGGTACATTTAGTTTTTCTTTTCAGATATCTTCGTAACTTTTTAAAAATGATGTTTTAAAACGTGTATAATAAGTTTATTGTTCTTATTTATATTCCCATTGCTAACACAGGTATTCGGTGGGACCATAAATTATTTAGTAACCTAAAAGCGAATCACATGGAAAACATCATGATAAAATCTGAACACCGGCCGTTGCAAAATTTTCTTAATTCTCTATCTATACCCGCGGTTTTTTAAATGTATAATCATCCTTTATTAGCTAAGTGATTTGAAGATAAATCTTTACCTGCAATATTCCACAGCATTTCATTATTTCCTCTTCACTGAAAGTTCCTTCTAATTTGAAGAATGTCCAAATGAATTGTGCAATCATTTTTCTATCGTGATTCCATTTCTCTGTTCCCTTACGGTCTTCGCAGTGAGACTCGAGGGCTTGAAGCTTCTGCCATAACTTCTGATCGTGGTCACGCTGGTACAAACATCTGAGGACCGTAATGCACTGGTAGCTGGGGTGGGGCACGCCAAAAGTTGATATGGACACCTGAAAAAGTGTGAGAAAGTTTTCAAATTATTAGTTTTCCGTCTATCGTCTACATTGGAACTGCAAATTGTTTTAAAGAGTTTGGTTGAGGAAATTATTTAATTCTAAAAGACAGCGTTGAGTTGCATTTGTGGGAATTTGGTTGGCAGTATAGCGATACCACAGTCTTTACAGTCGGTCAGCGAATACGTCTAGACAGAGCAATCGTGCGGGGTTTGCGGGGCAAGGCAGTGAGCCTTAAATCCCATATAGAGACCGGGGATACGACGGTCAGGAGAATCAGATTTTGAGAGACGCGTTAAATAAAATAATTTAGTTTATTTTTAATAGTGATCCATACTACATGTGCCGTAAGAGACTGTATGTCATCATTTCGTATAATTATGAATTTATAATTTCATAATTATTTAGAATATACAAACAAAATGGTGAACTTTTAGGACGCGACTTTTGAATAAAATAAATCAACCAATAACTAATTTTATGGAAATGTTGTAAAGGGTATTTTTTAACATTAATTAAAAATACAAATAAATAACTCATAGGTTCATTAACTCACTCACATTTTATCAATAGAATAAAATGTATTGGTATCGTATTCATGGTTTTTGGAGGTACTGATTTAGAATATAACATTTTCCGGATCCAAGTTGGCGGCCTTAAATTTTTTAATAAACTCGATATACTTAGGTGACGAATTTGGGTTTTCGAGGGTGCTGTTTTCGAATATAACATAAATATCGAGATCCAAAATGGCAGACTTGCCTTTTTTAATAAACTCGATATGGGTGTCGAATTCATGCTTTTAGAGGGTGCTGATTTCGAATTTAACAATAATATCGAGATCCAAAATAACGAACTTGCTTTTTCTCAATAAAAATGATATGGATGTCGTATTCATGGTTTCATGCTTAAAGTAAACGAGATGTCATGTGTAAGTTCTTCTTACTAAAATAGTATATTATATAAACTCACAAAATAGATTAAAACTACTAAATAAACTAAACACTTATACCAAACTAAAAATAAAACTATATTATGTAGAAAATCGACACCAAATCGCTGCGCTCGAAGGCTAGGGTGCCCAAGAGGCTGGCGGCATTTCCCCGTTGAATTGCCAGGCTCAACCTTTGTCCGAAATGCGCGCCAGCTCTTGGATCCCCTGAGGCGTCGATGAGGCGTGTGGAAATCTCCTTAAATAGCTGACGGGCTTCCGCACCCCAAGGCCCCCTATTTACGCCTTTTATTGGTTTCGGCTATCGCCGCAGCTGTGCCGGCTTTGCGAGCGGTAGCTCTCACATGAGATGGGGCAACAGTGTCCACGCATGTGGCATCCCACACGAGTGACCGCCCGTTTTTCCTCGGAATGAGCGTCATACCATCGGGCCTCTTGCCTTCGTCCCAGGCGATGCCATTAGGTTCAAGCACTGCTGGCACCCCGGAAGAGGCAAGGGCGCGTCGGATGACGTCATTTAAGGCCGCATAGCGCGGAATGCTTCCTGCACTGCGACGTCATACAATAACTTACTTATAATTTTTATTTTTTAAGCACGCTTGTTTGATGTTTAAATCTTACTTCTTACTTTGTTTAATATTTACCTTCTCACCCATTTGCTGTGTGTAAAAGCATTCTGGCTGGTGCACATCCTTGGCAGAGCACTCCTTGGAACAGAACGGCCAGCCGCACTTCTCACAGGTCACTATCTTCTCTTGCTTCAGCAATTCGTAGCATCCCAAACAAACTGGCGGAGTTATCTGTAATGTTAAAAATTACGTGTCATCCGACACTTTAGCTGTACTTGACGTTTATCGTTGTCCCGAATATTTCCGAATCATCTAATGCACCTAATTTAACATTCTGAACTTCAGTACCGTTAATTCCATCTTAGCTGTTAAAAATATGCATCGACATGTATCTCCTTCTATCTCCTTAAGGAGAGTGACATAATTGTTTATGATTTTCTTACTGTTATTTTCTGATTCATTTTTAGTAAATCTGTAATAGGAGTGATGACGGGGTACAGTAAACGAAATTCTATTTAGTCCGTCTGTTAGATGATCAAAAAATAATGAACACGTATTTTTTCTTTGGGCAATCAACCAAAAAATGACAAAGTTATAGCGCGTCAAAGTTTGGGAGTAGGGGCTCGTGACGTCACTTTTGAGTGAATTTTCACTTCTAAGTGTACTCAACCGTGACGTCATGCGACTTTTCAAATCAATATATCTCTGCAATGTTTATATTATGTGAAAAAAGAAAAAATACGTGTCCAATACATTTTGATAATCTACCTGATCAGTCATCATCCCATTATAAAAATTATTACTGAGTTTACCTGCGCTGGTCCGGTGATGAGGGGCGCTTCTTTCAGTATGATATCACCAACTCTAATGTCTCTAGTGGCTTCCAAGTATCTGCCGACCTTCGGGTCCTCCTTGACCCTGGCGGGGCTGCACTGGTGCTTGTGCTGCTTCCAGTGCTGTTTCTGGTGCTCCTTGGTGCAGTAGTGGACCGCCTGGCAGCCAGAGCACTTCTGCTCCGCGGGAGATAAGCAGATGGCGCAGGCTCCCTTTGGTGACATCTCCAATCGTTTTCTATTTAAAATGTGATATGATTAGACTAGTGGCTCTTAACCTTTTAACGACGAGGGCCAATTTGTCTAAATTTGTCTCTTGCCTTAGACCATATTTTACAATTTGCACCAAAACCCCCGCTCTCTAAGATTAATTATTCACCAACGGACCACTTCGGAGGAGGAGCTCGATGGCGCAAATGATTAGTGCGTTCGTTGAAGTGAAGCAACTTTCGCAGTGGTCGGTCATTAGATGGGTGACCAAAAATTTACTACCTCGAGCTCCTCCGTGCTTCGGAAGGTACGTTAAGCCGTTGGTCCCGGCTGCAACTGCAGTCGTTAGCACCCACCAATCCGCACTAGGCCGTGGTGGGTCATGGCCCAATCTCCCTATTCCATCCATAGGGAAGGCCAATGCCCCAGCAGTGGTGACATTAAGAGGCTGGTGATGATGTGTGATGGACCACTTCGAGTGCTTCTAGGGACCACCAGAGGTCCGCGGACCATCGGTTAAGAACCACTGAGGTTGTTTGTAAGTTTTTCTGTAAGTGACTCTACCCACAATCTGAATCTTTAACTTTTCTTATGCCTTATAACATGTGTCTTGAAGCTTGAAATAAATAGATATTGAACCGACCGACCCCATTTTAGTAATAAAATAGATTATGATGTCGATTCTGACACAATTCTCTAAACTAAAAACTAAATTTACAATCGGTCTCTACTTTTAATTCTGTATAGAGAATGACTTGTCATATTTAAGTTGGGGTTTAGATAATCATGTCAGAACTTACACCGCCGCACCATCGGAAACAGAGCAATGTGTATGATAATCCCAAATCAAAGAGATTTTTGTAAGTCTTTATACTTCATATTTCCATATCTTTTTTTGCATCATCATCATCATCATCATCAGCCTATTAATGTCCCCACTGCTGGGGCACAGGCCTTCCCTATGGATGGAATAGGGAGATTGGGCCATGACCCACCACGCTGGCCCAGTGCGGATTGGTGGGTGCTAACGACTGCAGTTGCAACCGGGACCAATGGCTTAAAGTGCCTTGCACGGAGGAGCTCGAGATAGTAAATTTTTGGTCACCCATCCAATGACCGATCACTGCGAAAGTTGCTTAACTTCAACGATCGCAGCCGAACGCGCTAAACACCCACGCCAACGAGCTCCTCTTGTGTTAAACTTAACTTTTTTGCATAGTGTTTAATTATCGCAATAAAAGTTCCTCACTACGTAAAATTTTCCTTTAAACATAAAGAATACTCAGGTACGAAATATTGAGAAAAGTTACTTACGTTTTTTCAAAACACTGTCATTCACTTCACAGAAAACCGATAGACCACACTCTGAAAATACAATTACACTGAACTTATTGGAAACAAAGATAAATGAAGTTAAGTAATTTGTGCAATGGTTAATCGTGAATGTAACGTGATGCTACCGGGCCGCCTCACGCCGCGCCGACTGTTCGCCGCACCAACGTTGTTTAAAAATAAACTCGTAGAACTGAGAAGACACTCGATTCTTCCACGTGGCATTCGACAATATATCGAAACACTAGCGGCAGCCCGCGACTTCATCTGTGGGAATAACGGTTTTCCATAAAAAAAATGTGTGTGTCAGCTCCGACGCACGACTGGAGTTTACTCCTTAAGTTCGATAGTCTAACCAGTAGATACGTGGTTCACGAATCTTGAAAATACCGCATCAATGGTTGTACCATACCTCGTTGTCCCCATTACTCTATCAGAAGCAGTATCTAAATTCAGTTCAGATTTTAAAATTTTTATTAATGTCAATCCGTCGTCTTTGTTTGTCAAAGTTGCGCACCAAAAACGTAACGAGGTCATTCATTGATAGATTTTACTCCTCACATTTTTCTCATACCGGGCCCCTTATATATGCAAATCGATTTTTAAGGAGTAAACTCCAAAAATAACGCCATTTTTCACCCCCTTTGAAGGATTATTTCTGGGATAAAAAAACGAGCGAGCCTTACAGTAGTCGCGTATGATGTGTAACATTTGAAACCTCACCTTATATTAAAAAAAGAAATAAAACCTACTACAAAAGGAATATGCCATTTGAACATTATGTTCTAAAATCAAATCAAATAGCGCGCGCTTTCGCGACTTCCTGTTACACATTTCCGTCCCACTTCACGAAATCACAGCCACAAAGTGCAGGAAAGCGAGAGGAAAGATGTTACACATCAAAAACTATACATAGAAATAGAATAGTCCTTTCTTGGGACTAAAACTCTATCTTAACACCAAATTTCATCTAAATCAGTCCAGCGGTTTACGGGTGAAGTAGTACCTAACAGAACAGACACACTTTCACATTTGCAAGTATACAAGTCATTTAAAAGGCACAAGCCTTCTGTCCTACAGGCACTGGACAACAATATAATGACATCAGGCTTAATTTATGAATGCCACAATAACTTGACTAATATTGCTAACGACAATAGATTGACCTTACAGTGGATTAAAGGACACAGCGGCTCAAGGGGTAACGATGCGGCGGACTGCTTAGTTAGGGAGGGGTCTAGCAAGACGGCCATTGGTCCGGAGCCGGATACCCATACCCTATCGGCAGCTGCGAACCTGGATAAGGGAGCGCTCTCAACGACAACACGACGATTACTGGTCAAAACTCACGGACTGCAGGCAAGCTAGGGAAGCCGTTCCTAAGGTAAACCTGCAGCTAACACGTAAGTTAATCAGACTACCTAGACAAGCCCTAAAACAAATCGTGGGTATACTCACGGGTCACGGCTACTTCAACAAACACCTTTGTAATATAGGTAGTTCTGACAGCCCTCTGTGCAGAGCCTGCCTGGAGGCGGATGAGACGAGCGCCCATGTCCTACTGGAGTGCAGGGGCGTTGCAAGACAAAGGACTTCTCTAATGGGAAGCCTGAAGACAATAGTAGAGGCCTGCAGTAACATTCGGGGACTGCTGAGCTTTCTGGAGGAGCTGGGATGGCAGGACTGATGCAAAATAGGCACTGGGTGTCGAGTTGCGGAAACAGCCCGCCGCTCTACTAACACTAAGACTAAGACTATCGTATGTCGCAAATGGTATTGATTCCGTACAATATTCAAGTTGTTGATAAACATAAAGCCTATGACATAATAGGCTAGATAATTTAGTTGTTGATATCTTTTTTTAACTAAAGTTAGCAGTACTAAAGTTCTTTAAAACCGCTGGTTGAAATTAATAAAAAAAAACCCCTTCCACATGTCTAGTCCTCTTGAAGTCCAGTACAGGGGGCCATTCCCTTAACGTAAATGCTTTGGAAAAAGCTAATGCTTACGATTTCATTTTGTTATTTCTAGCCGCCTGAGGTTTTCAAATGCCTCGCGCTCTTTTTTTCTTTTGCATTGGTAACAACAATATTAAAGAAAATGAGCGTGAGGTATTTGAATAACTTCGGCGGTCAGAAATAACAAAGGCACCGTTAGGCGAATGGCCCCCTGGTCACGGCACGAAACTCTGGTGCTGAACAAAACGCGGAGGGGATGGCTTCGGATAGGTACGACTGGAGAGCCAATCGGTGCAACGCACGCCCACCCGCGCACCTCGTTTCCCCCCAAGACATCTTAATTTTTTACTTCTGTGCAATAACGGTCAGCGCTAGAGTTTCGTACCCCGACCACTGCCGGATTTAGGGGAGGGCAACCGGGGCGAAAGCCCAGGGGCCTCCACAAACGGGGGGCCCCCACAATAGAGATTTCGGAAAAAAAATCTTTCAAATTCCAACTAGTAAACACTAGTAATCATCTTTTCCTTTGTTATTCTTTTTTGCTCTTTTTCCTTTACTCCGAGAACTCGATTTCAACGAAATCATCAACGATATTTCGGCGAAAAAAGCTCGAAAGGTTCCGTTCGTTAACTCTAAGATTTAATTTCAGATAATTCTTATTTCCGATTATATGTGTTTGTTCAATACTAAGGGAATCTACTTGGTTCACAATAAACGATTTATTGAAAACTCAACTGAAAAAAAAATGTTTCCTTTATTTGGAAAATAATTTGGGATGAGGGGGCCTCCGCTCCTTTGTTGCCCCGAGGCCTCTTGACCTCTAAATCCGGCCCTGACCCCGACTTATAACTAAGTATATTAATATATATTTTTTTGAAAAAAAGCGAAAGATATTTAAGAGTTGTACCAAAGTTTTACACTTTAGCATTCAGGAATACAGCGTATCTTAAAACAGTTTAGTTTAACTGCTATATTTTTTAAAGGAAAAAAGGCGGAAATCTTTTTACAATATTACAAGCTGCTATGTTTATATGTAAAGAAAATTTATCGTGTTTCAAAACAATCTTCTTTCTTTTTCTTGACGACCTCCGTGGCCGAGTGGTTTGTACGCCGGGTTTCATGGTGTCGCTGACTCGAGAAGTCCCGAGTTCGAATCCCGGTGGGGGCAGATGTTTGTGTGATGAATACGAGCATTTGTACCCCAGTCATGGATGTTTAATATGTATTTCTATATAAATATACTTATATATGTACAGTATATGTATTCTATCCGTTACCCTAGCATCCCATAACACAAGCCTCACAGTGCTTACTTTGGGGCTAGGCTAATTGGTGTGAGTGTTGAAAATATTTATTTATTTTTTTGAAATCGTCTTGGCTGTCTGAATTTCTTTTCAAGCCAACATTAAAAGTAGTTTGTTTTGTTCATACTTTGCTTTTGCATCCCGAACCACGCCTTACAATTTGAAAATGCAACAGCACACAGCACACTATTCGAGCTATTTTCTTATCTTCAGGAGATATTTTTACCTTTGGTCCATTTTCTGAACCCTTATTTTAACCATCTACTAAAGAAGAACTTTTTTTCACTTTTTGCTAAATGTACCCTTAGCATGAACCATTAACGAATTCGAGAGTCGGTAGTCATTTGGGACCTGGACCACTGGTCCTGATGGGGACATGGAATTAATAAATTATTTTGAGGCGGCATTCGGGAGTCGGGACCGAAGCTAGTGGTCCCGAATGACACCTATGTTTAATGATTATCGAATAGTTTGCAAACCGAAATGTCAATATCAAATTTTGTATGGAAACTTGAACAGCAGAAAAAAGTACGTAACGAGAACTAAAAATCAGTACACATTTGACAATGACATTTCGACTCGCAAACGATACGAATTTGATATTGGTTCGTGCTAAGGGTACTGATTATGAATATTTTTTCCATTTTCATAATTGTTTAAGACAAACAAATAAGAAAATGAAAAAAAAAATGTTAGAAAATGTCAATGAAAATTCCATGTTTGTAGATGGGTAGGTGTATAATTTTATTTTATTTCTCGATTTATAAACTTCAACTGCAGGTCCGTGTTTAGACCCATTTAAGCGGTTATGAAAATGGAAGAAAATATTTCGGAACTGGTTAGAAAAAAGCTTAGAGCCTGAGGGGAAAAGTAAATAAAAAATCTTCTTTCGTAAGTACAAAGTACATGGAATTTCCACAACTTAAAGCTTTTTGTTAAAGTTTCCGAGTCGGACTTGCAAAGGAGAGTTCCGTACTTATCATTGTACAAGATTTTATTTAGGGTTCTGTGCTCAAAGAGTAAATATTCTACTGTCCGTGTGTCTGTCTATCTGTTACCAGGCATATCAGGAACCGTGACAGCTAGACCGTTGAAATTTTCGCAGATGATATTTCTCTTACTGTTATAACTTGGTTATCACAACAAATACTTAAAACAAAATAATGTAAATATTTAAGAGGGGCTCCAATACAACAAACGTGATTTTTTTCCGTTTTGTGCTCATCATTATCATCATCATCATCATTAGCCTATTAATGTACCCACTGCTGAGGTGCAGGCCTTCCCTATGGATTGGATTGGCGCGTGCTAACGACTGCAGATACAGCCGGGACCAACGGCTTAACGTGCCTTCCGAAACACGAAGGAACTCGAGTTAGTAGATTTTTGGTCACCCATCCAATGACCGATCATTGTGAAAGTTGCTTAACTTCAACGATTGCAGCCGAAAGCGCTAGCCACCTGCGCCATCGAGCTCTTCAGTTTGGTGCTCGCTCTATATTAATAACGACAACAGGTAGACGCTTGAAATATTCACAGAAAATTTCGTTGTGTATTCACTTTAAAAATTAAAATAAAGTAAATATTTAAGGTAAAACAACAAACGTGATTTTTAACCGTTTTTTGCTCGATATTGTGATTGTCGCGGACCAGTCCGATCAGCTCGAAGGACCAATGAGAAGGGTCCTATGGGGACTTTAAATGATGTGGACTGTAATTATAGGTAAACTGGTATATTTACCACAAAACAGATTATTTTACATCGACGTGGTGTTAATAATAATAATAATAATTTATTGCATAAAAATACGGTATAAAAGGTGTTTGATCATTTTCATGTCTCACATATTTTACTGTTAAACAGCATGCAACAGCTTTTAAATCAACTTAAAATTAAAGTGTAATGCTTGTCAGCTTATCAATATCATGCCAAGATCATTTTATACTCAATATTATACAATGTCAATAAATATAAAATTATCCATTAAAATGTAAAAAATAAATGTCCAATGTTAAAAATTTGTTTTCTCACAATGTTCCAATAATCAATAATAATCATACAATGGTGTCGATTCATAATAAAATAATAATCAAAAAGTAAAATGGTAAATGCACCAATATTTGCTTTGAGGATCCTCCAGTAATCAGTATCGTACAATGTCAAACAAATTAAATAAATCATCAAAATATATAATACATGTCCAAAATCAAAATTTCATATATTGAAGTCCATTCAGCCTACTTATCCTCAAAATACTCTGCAAGTGAATAATAGCATTTTTCTATTAATAATTTATATAGACGACGTCTGAATAAGGACATAGGTAATGACTTTAATGGCTCAGGCAAATTATTATATATTTTCACGGACATTGTAAAGCTATTTCTACTACAAATTCCAGTTCTAGAGTCTGGTAAACATATATTTTTTGGATACCTAGTGTTACAAGTACAGCAGTCTTTTTTAGTTTAATAAAGGTCAGGGTGCATTTTGACAAAGATACATATTGCAAAAATATAAATACACGGAACTGTCAACAACTTATAAGACTTGAACAAAGGCCTGCAAGAAACCCAAGAATCAACATTAGCAATAGATCTAATGAATTGTTTTTGTGCAATAAACAGTCTTTTATTTTTTACAGAATTACCCCATACTATTATGCCATACCTTATGATCGAGGCTACATATCCGTGATATGCTTTCAGTGCGGTTTGAGTATTGCTTATTCTAGACAAACGCCACAATGCATACGCAAATCTATTTATTTTGTTACATACTTTGTCAACATGTGCTTTCCAAGTACAGTGATTATCAAATTCTATACCTAAAAACGTTACTTTACTAGTTTCTGCGATTGTTTTGTTGTCAAAAGTAACATTTAGTTCCGCTTTTTTTGCACCTTTATTAGTAAATTTAATGATTTTAGTTTTTTCTATATTTACCCTTAGGTTATTACAATTTAACCAGTTAATAATGTCAGTTACAGTTGAATTAATTATGTCATTTAGGTTTTTGTCAGATTTATTACTTAAGACTACTATACATATTATGAACGCGGTTGGGCCCGTGCGATGCTGTGCGAGGCGCGTAAGCAAGTACAGCCCGCCGCCGCTGGCCGCTTGTCCCCTTTGTAATGGTCGGCGACAGTGATAAAGTGTCTAATGATGTCTAATGTCTAGTGCTGTGGTCTAGCAGAGGCGGCGTAAGGCGTGGGCGACGTGGGCCACCGCCTACGGCCTCCCGGTACAAGGGGCCTCGCGCCTGAAAAATTTATATGCATTGCCTTAAAGCGAACTTCTTTAGGCGCGTTATGAAAAACTGATGAGAGTGAAATTTTAAGATGCGCGCGCATCACTGTAACACAAAATTTTAACAGCATGAAGTTGGCTTTAGCCCCCAACTTCATGCGTTACTTTTGTGTTTACCGCACATAAAGAAAATCTACCAACAAAACAGAAATAGAATCTTTATTTAGTGGGTGCTAACGACTGCATTGTGAAGGCCTATCAAAAGTATTTATTAATCTGGAACAACGGAACCAAAGCGCGATTCAGGAGACTACAGCGCCATCTCTTGACCATTGGTGTAGTAGAACCAAAAACCACATCTTTATTTTTTGTAATAAAGTAACAGTTATAGGTATTCATATTTATAATATTTATCCACATGTTTCTAGTTTGTATATTCGGAATACGTGTTTGAGTTTCATACAAGTGCAAATCACATATGTTGTAATAAATTATACCTATTCAGTAGCGATTTTAATTGAATATTTTGATTATTTATTTACTTTTTCAAACTAAAACTAACCTTTATTGACTGTGTCCTTTTCCAGACTTTTTATTAATTTATTGTAATTAATTATTTGCATGCAATTAAAAACTAATTTTAAACGATGCCAAAGAAGGATAACTTCTCACGCGCCTACATAAGTACACGCACCCATTTTTTTTAATATTTTATAAAATCCGTCTTCAGGACGCCACAGAACAGGGCCTTGCGGAATCTGTCCTACAAATGTAAGTCTGACTCACACTATCATCAACTGATTTCCATCCGTGATCCCAACTTTTTTTTCTTTAACATAATCCTGCTGAAGATATATCTGCTTATATTTAAGTACTGTAACGCCCGTAGCGTTATGGCCTCATTGCTTGTATAATCTCTTTGCCTTTTTAATGCAGTTGGTTGGCAGTTCTATTAAAAGTAAATAATATTATTTTAAAGATCCAAATATGAAAACTGAGAAGAAATGTTTCATATCGAATATTCTAGACGGATTGAATTCAGGCACAGACTCTTATAATTAATTGTATTTTGTTTTTTTTTTAAGCATTTAACTGCTAGATGTTTAAATCTAAAGAAAAGTTTTACTGGAAAAAAAACCACGCGGACCAGGCAGCGGACGGGACTCGAACCCGCACCCTTCGCAATCCGGACGAATGCACTGACCAATTATGCCTATAAATACTAAAATGAGAATACTTGACCAATTATGCTACCACGGCCCTGATGGCCGCGTTGAAATTTTCCTAGTCTTAAGCTGCAAGGCAGCGCCATCTCTTTGCATTGTAGGTAACCCACAATGTCAAATGAATACTTTTTCAAGTATTAAACATTTGAAAGAAGCAATAGCAATTATAGTTATGTTTTATTTTTTTAAGCATTTAACTGCTATATGTTTAAATCTAAAGAAAAGTTTTACTAGAAAAAACTAGCTCAAGGCTAGGAAAATTTCGACGCGGCCATCAGGGCCGTGGTAGCATAATTGGTCAAGTATTCTCATTTTAGTATTTAGAGCTACGGTCTCCTATAGCTATAGCAAGCTATACCTAGTCTTGGAATCATAAAACGTAAATAAAACTAAGTGGGTATACATGCAAAAGATTTTTATTACCATTACAAATGCTATAATATCATTTTTCCAATATCCTTATAAGATAGGAAAACTACAATATTAAATCATACAAATGTCTTTTAGTAGAAGGAATGAATAGAATGAGTTCAAACATATCTATAAAAAGATTGACAAAAATAAATACGATTTTTAATTTTTTAAGAATAAATAAGTACATACATTACATAATCATACATTTTTTTCTTTTTAGAAAGACTAACTTAAATGAATAGTGAGTTAATTAAAGAATATAAATTTCCTTATTAGTAAAACTGAAATAAATTAATAATCACATTTAGAGAACATAATTTATCTACCTAATAGGGGTGATGACTGGGTACAGTAAACGAAATTCTATTTAGTCCGTCAGTTAGATGATCAAAAAATAATGGCCACGTATTTTTTCTTTGGGCAATCAACCAAAAAATGACAATATTATAGCGCGTCAAAGTTTGGGAGTAGGGGCTCGTGACGTCACTTTTAAGTGAAAATTTACTTGTAAAACGTGACGTCATGCGACTTTTCAAATCAATATATCTCTGCATTGTTTATATTAAGGGAAAAAAGAAAAAATACGTGTCCAATACTTTTTGATAATCTACCTGATAAACGAAGGAAAAAAATAGTCATCATCCCTATTGTAAATACGAAGCAAACTACATGTCCTCGTCTATTAAATTCACAAGAAAATCTTATTTACAAAAGAAATACTAGCATTTTTAATATCTGACGTTTTTAAGAATGGAATTTGATAATCATCAATAACTGTTTAATTTATTAATTTCTAATGATACCTAATTTTCGTTCAAGCTTAAAATTTTTAGTTCTTACGACATTTTACAAAATAAATACTGTAATGATAGGTAATCGAGGCGAGGTAATGCCTGATTTTTTTTTACTTCTGAACAAATATTTGACAGTAAATTTCTGCTTCTTCTTTATTAACAAATTTAGACCAGGGTCGATAATTTTTGAGACCAAAAAAATTATAGTAGGATGAAACCCATTGGAAAAGGTAGAGAATATAACAAAAATGAAAGGAAAAATAAATTACGGGCGATCTGAGGTCGGGAAGTGGGAGGGGAGGAAGATATTAAGTCAAAATAAGGTGAAAAAATTAATATTTTTAATAAAAAAAAAATGCTGTATGTTTGGGACATACAAAGGTAAGTGTTCACTAAATTTCGTTAAAAAATATTTTTTTTGCATAAAATAAAAATAAAAATCCAAAAACTCGGTTATTCGATTTTTTCACATAAATTTTGAGGTTATGTGAAAAAAGTGTCGATACAAAAGATGTAGATCTTTTTATTACCTACAACTTTGCCATTTAACTTTTTTTCATAGGACTTTCAGTTTTCCCGGAAATCGAGATTAACCGGTTTTTACCCGTAAACATTCACCCCCTCCCCCTTCCCGACCTCAGATCGCCCGCAATTTATTTTTCCTTTAACTTTTGTTATATTCTCTACCTTTTCCAATGGGTTTCATCCTACTATATTTTTTTTTCACTTTTCACCATTTTTAAAATGATCGACCCTGGTCTAATTATAATTTCATAGTTTGTACATAACTATTTCTTCTAACCCATCCTCTAGCACATTCAATTTGCATGATAACAAATTATTGGGAACACAGAAGGTTTAACCATTTTAATTGTTCATTTTCTACGTGGAAATCATTCTGAACGAGCTTAAAGTAATATTTTCAAAATAACATTTTATAAAGTCTTTCGAAGGTAGGGTTACCATATCTCAGGATTTGTCCTGAGATTTCAGGATTTTTAGACTCTTCTCAGGATTGCGGCTGGATTTTGCAAATCTCATGAAATCTCAGGATTTTTTGAATTTCCAATAAAATATAGCTCACGTTTTAGAGATCTCTTAAAAATAATTGCACAATTAAAATCAGTACTTTATTATCCAAGTTAATCTTAACTTAATCAGTTTTATCATACTTAATACGTGAAGATACATTTTTAAGTAAGGTATTTTTTCTGTTGGATTCATATAATGCCCCACATGTTAAGCTCTCCAAATTATATTGATTTAAAAGTATAAGCAGAGTATCATACGATAATATTACGACTTTTTTGAAATTGTTAAGTACGATTGAGAGAAAATTCTCAAACTGAAAAAAAAATCTCAGGATTTTTCAATGGAAATCAAGCCTTTTCCTCCGGACTTTTGATTTTATCATCTGGTAACCCTATTCGAAGGTAGCTCGACGAAGTAAATAAAAATCATAATTCTACAGACGACGCAGAATGAAAAGGCTGCGAAACGTCAAGAAAAAATAAATTAACTCATACAAACCGTTGAAGGTTTGTTTTATTTGATTTTATAAAAAAAAATATAAGTTTAAAAAGTAAATTCTAGAACTTTTTAACGCCTTCATCAAATATAGTTGTTTATATCGTGTTTTAGGATATCTTGCCGATGATCTGTTCCCAAGTTTTGATCTTCTTCAGGGCGTCCCTCGCTGCCGTAGCCATCAGACCTTCGGACGAGTGCGCTGGCTCGAAGCCCAGAATCAAAGCTGCCTCCGTCAGGTACCCGAAGATCTGTGTTACAAAATAAAATTAAAATCAACTTAAGCAACCTGCACCTAATAAACTTTGAAGAGTATGAAATGATGTACCAATTTATAATGGGAATGTAATATAGAATTCTACGTAGATAATTTGAGTTACTAAGATAACTCAATAAGTTATAAATACAATACAATACAATACACAATTCTTTATTGAAAACACCACAGTACAGTACATAAATGGGGTAAATACATTATGCTTAAACATAGTGATTCAATGGGCGGTCTTATCGCTAAAAGCGATTTCTTCCAGACAACCTTTGGATGGAGAGGATTGAAAGAAACTGGAGTCGGTGGTGTTATAAAAAATAAAAACAACTGATATAAAAATGTATATAACTATATATATTAAATATATATATACGTACCATACACACATAATATATACACACAATATAACTATAAGATATATACATATAATATAATACACACATATATAAGTGTAGTCCAGTCAGAAAAAAAAGTAAAAATCAAAATCAAAATGCAGTTACATCGACAAATAATGATTGAACACAAAATACTATAATACTGACATTAAAAATGTTAGTCGGCTGTAATCTTGTCTCATAAAAGGTGAAAAAGACTTTTCCAGGTGGCGCTACGTAAACCTGACCAGCAGGGTCATTTTTTTAATTTTATTCTATCGCCTAGGGCGCTTACGATTTGCAAATCAAACCAAAATATAGGTCAGTAACGAGTGTCTTTGATGTGCAAATAAATTAAGCACGATGCGTCGACCATCTTAAATTGATTTGCAAAATGAATGTCTCATTGAATATATTTCGACACTGACCTCCTTCAGACGACTCCGAAGGTTTTCTTTAGTAATAGCTTTCCTCTCGAAGTCTCTTGTGGTGAGGATCATCAGTGGCGCATGGAGTTCATACAACGTGACTCCTGTAAAATATAATGTAAATTAAAGAAAATTCCAGTCCGATATACACGACTCAGCCCAGGTCACACACAACCCACGGCCAACTTAATTTAGGTTGGCATTCTTGATACTTTTGAAATTTTATTATACATCATTATAGCATTACAGGCCCTGCCAGAATACCAGCGCCGCTGCGACACGTTTTGTGGCGTGTTGCGGTAGCATTATGCTGATACTATAATGATAATATAATTAATCTGTTTTTTTTTTTCACTTTTCATTAACGATAATTTTCAAAATGTTATTTTTTGTATGTTGTTTTGTGATGTAATGTGGTCAATAACATGTTTCTCTCCCTCTCTCTTATTATTTAGTGCACGATGCACAAAAAATAGTGTAAAAAGGAATTCAGCCACGAAGATAACCGATGATCACCTTGCTGGTCTGAACCAAATCCGTGGAACTCCTTCTAGAATCTTATTCACTTTTTCCTAGAACGAGTGGCGAGCCCTCCCTAACATATAAACCTTTAACAGCTGAATTCATAGAATTTAAAATTTAAGCTAAATCCAGTAACTCTGTTTTTAGGTTTTATTTTTATTTTTTTTAGGTGTTTAACTGCTAGGTGTTTAAACTTGAGAATTTTTTTCTAGAAAAATTCCACGCGGACCAGGCAGCAGACGGGACTCGAACCCGCACCCTCCTCTATTCGGGCAAAGTCTGTTTTTTTTCAACCTGTTTACAGAAGTGTCGCCGCACACGGACCACACGCCACAGCCACAAACGCCGCCACGAGAAGCTATAAGCGGCTGCTAAAGTGGCTGAAGCGCGCGACAGCGGCCGACTAAGGCAAGGGAGAGAGGGGTGGGGAATCGCGCGAGTGACGTGTGGCGGCGCGGCGTTTTGTATTCGGCGCATTAAGTGGCCGGTGCGGGCCACAAGAAGCGAGCAACGACGATTTGTAGCGTGTGGCGGCCACCGGCGCGGCGTACCGTGTGTGCCGAGTCCATATAGTGGTAGTTTTCGTTATGCAGCGACCAAATGTTGGAATAACATTCCTCCTCCAATAAGGAACTCCACAACGGTTTGCACTTTTAAAGTTAAATACAGGAAATATTTATTAGATGTGCAAAAGTTGCAATGAACTAACCTGAACCTAGAACACTATGGTTGATTTTGAGCACCATTTCATACGCTGTAAATTTTAATTTAATTTTTTTTTTTTTTGGCTTTCATTTTGTTTCGCAATATTTATCCAATTGATTTCAGTAATTTGACATTTGTATTTAAATCTTTTATTCTTAATTTTTATTTAAATTATTATCGATGACCTTAAATGTCATTTAATTTAAGTAGGCTGCTGCTGAAAATCAGTGTCGTGGCACATGTTGCCTCGACATAATTTTGGTACACAACCTTTATGTAACACAATAAGTTATTTTTGTAATTTGTGCCAAATAAACGTTTTATTATTATTATTATTATTATATAAAATGTATGAAAACTACAAGAAATATGCCGGTGGCGGCGTTTTGTGTTTGTGGTCGGTGGCCCGTGTGCGGCGACACTTAGTCGAGCTAGAATTAGGATTTACGAGTAACATTGCTTTTGGGCTTTTTCTTGAAGATTCTGAAATTTTTACTTTGCTAAAGGGTCGTAAGGTCCTACCTCTCAATCTAGAATATCCCGGCTCGATGACGTCGAACACCTTCATCAGCTCGCGACAGATGTGTATCTTTCTGTTGAGCTGGGCGTCCGTCATCTCGTGGATCATGTAGGCGGTCACCTTCAATTCAAAATCAATATCGTTAATCTACGGCGGTAGACATTGCACTGAAAAGAACTGGCTAGAATCCCAGCAAGGGTTGTTTTTTCTCCCTGTTAATATTAGCTATACTACCCGCGATTTCATTCGCGTGGATGTAGGAAAATAACAACTAATTATAAACACATAGGTAGTATATTCTTGGATACGCGTTATGGCTTATTCTTCAGGTGTCCAGATTGAGTGATCCAGTTAATTAGTTCTAACTTTCTTTGTTTAGGTTTCACAAATTTTATACCTTACCATTAAGTTTTCACAATTACTTCCTAAATCCTCTTATAATTTGGTTGTGATTGGATGAGTTTTTTGAAAAGATCACTCAGTCCACACGCACATAACATGTCGTACGTAGTGGGCAGGGATTTTTATGGAGAAGCCGGTTTCTTTAGACCTTACCTTTCTTTCCAAAAGTTATTATTTGGGAACGTCCAAATATGGATTGTTCGGATGGGATTATTTACACTCAAAAGGGTCTAAGATGTCAGGTCGAAAAATACCGGTTTCTTTAGACCTTATTTCTTTCCAAAAGTTATTATTTGGGAACTTCCAAATATGGAGTGTTCAAATGGGATTATTTACACTCAAAAGAGTACATATTACAGAAATTTCAGGTCGAAAAAAAATACTTTAATATGAGATTTACATTTTTAAGTAATTTTTTATCGGCATCGTTCTGAGATTCCTTCAGAGGATCACACACGTTGGCCTACGTTACCACCGGCTTAGTGTAAGAGATTTGGTGACTCGTTCCTTTGTCGTACTATTCCCAAATGAAAGTCATTACCCGCGCACGGGTTTCTTTCCTTGCTAGAGTCCTGGGTCCTTTTAAAAGGGCGTGGGAAAGTATTTGTCTATGCTGGCAAAGTGAGGATGATTTGTGACACTTTATAACTACTGCACCATCTTCACGTCTGCCGGGCTTTACCACCACTTACCATTAGGTGGTATAAAGTCATTTGTTTACCTTACTATAAAAATACAGCCAAGATGTACCTTTCCGTAGAGCTGGCTGAGCGAATGCATGGCGGATAGGCACAGGTAGTGCGTGGGGTGCACCACGTTGCGGTACTTGTGCAGGAAACCCTCGAAACCCTCCACGTCGTTGACGTCGATCTGCTCGTATTCTTCCGTGAGCCTGGAAAAGTGATTTAGTTTCTGTCTCTGATGAACGAAATTGGTAATTGCTAAAAGGTTAATTCTCATTTTATTGTAAGGATATTAATACCTATAGTATAGGGCACTCCTCGCCTTATAGGTACAAAGTAAGCAGAGCACGAGTGGCCCAGGTAGCAGGGTGCGATGGTGGCCTTAAGTGAGGTCAGCGCAAGTCGCGGCGCAGTAAAGGAAATTTAGGGTGACATTAGCGCACCGGGTGTCACTGAACCAACTGAACTGTACCCCTAGCACGAACCAATTGTGTTTGCAGTTTGCAAACCGAAATATCAATGTCAAATTTTGTATGAAAACTTGAACAGCAGCGGCAAAAAGTACGTAACGAGAACTAAAAATCAGTACACATTTAACAATGACATTTCGGACTCGCAAACGTTACGAATTCGATATTGGTTCGTGCTAAAGTTACTGGACCTTTTGCTCGCCAGATAATTTAGTCGCTACTAATTTCTGGAATATCTGGCGAGCAGTAGGCGTGCGGCTGCAGCCGACATTTTATATACGTAAGAGTAGGGCCAGGGCGCCGTTGCCACGCGGGCGGTCCAGCGCGGGCAGCGGAAGGCAAGGCGCAGTAAACGTAATTTAAGATTATGCAGGCGCGCGAGGGATGTCATTAAGCTAAAGCCTGCGTATCTGATCATAATATACCTGGCTAGCAGCAGGCGCGAAGCCGCAGCAGGAATATTGTACAAGTAGACGTATACACGTGGGCACGCGGGGAAGCGAGTTGGACCCGACTCGTTTGTGTGTGTGTGTGTGTGGGCAGATGTGTCGCGACGAAGTAAAAGTTATGTAGGGTGGCGTAGACGCGCGAGGAATGTCACTGAACGGAAACCTTGATGGGCTCCCTACTAATTTCTGGTTTACGATATATGTAGCCAGCACAAAAGCAGTCGCACGGACGCAGCCTGCATGTGCAAACGCATGGACAGGGCTCGCGAGCAGCGAGGCGGACCCGGATAATTTGTGTGAATGGCGGCTGTGTCGCGGCATAGTAAAAGTGATGTAGGGTGACTTTAGCGCAATCGAAACACCTGCGCATTGTTGCAGTCACTACTAATTTCTAGAATAAGTACCTGGCGAGCAGCAGTCTCGCGGCCGCGGCCGGCATGTTGTACCCGCAGGCGCAGAGCCAGGGCGCTGCGGGTACCGTTGGCGCGGCGGGCAGCACGCGCCCCTCGCAGCGCGGGCAGCGGAAGGCGCTCGCGTGCGTGCCCAGCTCGGTGGGGTCCGAGCACCGCGCGCACGTGCACTCGAAGAACTTGCTGTGCTTGATGTGCTCAAGGCGTTTCAGCGTGCCCTGTGTGATGATAACAGATTTTATGACTGGTGTTCGGTTTCAAATATATTGAATGCGTTAGATATGATAACGTAACATTACAGTTGCAGTTTTGCGGTCGCGTGTCAGGACTAGGAGTCATGCACCTGTAATGTGTACGCGTAGCAGAGGGCGATGAAGTGTCCGGCGTGGTGCGGCAGGGGGTGTGCTGTGCAGACAGCCGCCAGTAGACACCTGTAAGGTGTACGCGTAGCAGAGAGCGATGACGTCACCGTTGCGGTGCGACAGGGGGGGGCGTGCAGTCATGTGTTAGGACTAGCAGACACGCATCTGTAAGGTGTACGCGTAGCAGAGGGCGATGACGTCCCCGGCGCGGTGCGGCAGGGGGCGTGCAGTCGTGTGTCAGGACTAGGAGTCACGCACCTGTAATGTGTACGCGTAGCAGAGGGCGATGACGTCCCGGCGCGGTGCGGCATTGGGCGCGCAGTCGTGTGTCAGGACTAGCAGACACGCACCTGTAAGGTGTACGCGTAGCAGAGGGCGATGACGTCCCCGGCGCGGTGCGGCAGGGGGCGTGCAGACGTGTGTCAGGACTAGGAGTCACGCACCTGTAAGGTGTACGCGTAGCAGAGGGCGATGACGTCCCCGGCGCGGTGCAGCAGGGGGCGTGCAGATGTGCGTCAGGACTTGCGGGTACGCACCTGTAAGGTGTACGCGTAGCAGAGGGCGATGACGTCACCAGTGCGGTGCGGTAGAGCGGCGCGCACCACGAGCGGGCGGGCGGGCGCGCGCTCCAGGTCCGTATGGGTAGTGGTGGGGGTGCAGTCGTGAGCTAGTAGATACGCGCGGTCGTACAACGCGCGGGCGTTTGCTCCGCTGCCGCCTACCTCGAACGCGTTTACCTGCAACACGAGCGATAACTTTACTCTGCTGAAGATTACGACACTTATCTGAAAGCGGTAGAAAACCTTTCTTAGTTTTAGAATAACCGAGTGATTAGCCACTTGCGACGTCAAAAGAGAATGAAATCTATAGTAAGTTTCGCATGGTGTAGAGAGAGCCGTACGAAGGAGTAGAATATATGAAAATAACATTAAGTTACGTGAACCCTTCAATTATGGCCGCTTGTAGAAATTTTTGTTTTGCTACCCATTAGACATTGCAAATCTTGAGTGGCCCCGGACAACAGCCCTCAAGAAGATTCTCTAGTTTTACAAAAATCTACTATAAACTGAGCAGTACCATAATACTGATCTGCCATCCACAGTTTACAGGTTATCTGTAGTAAGAGTTTTAGTCTACACCAGTGATTCCCAAAGTGGTCTATATCGACTCCTAGGGGTCTATGAAAACCTGCAAGGGGACTACGTCAGCGAAAAAAAATCAATATCAGGTAAGTAGGGGGTCTACCCAACACGGAAAAACATGGCAAGGGGTCTACGACACAAAAAAGTTTGCGGAACTCTGGTCTACACAAACAGTTTCTTGATCTAAAACTAAGTCCACATGCATACCCCACTGACCTCCAGTATGCCGCATACTGTGTGTATTTCCTCTGGCTCGTACGGCAGTTTCCACGCCTGCAGCCGCCGTACCACCAGCCGCTCGTTGAGGGGAAAGATGTCTCCCCTGGCGCGACGCAACTCGTTATGAGCTTCCATTTGTGACACTTTCTCCCATTTAGAGGGATCGTGCTTTTTGAGAAGTAAACATCTGGAAATATAATCGTTTTTAGGTTTGGTATGTAGACAACAAAGATGTTATAGTCAAGGTCTGTTTACGAAATTGTAAATTAGTATTGTATGTAATCGATGACAAAACCAACAATCAACTTTATATAAAGTAAATCTTACGATTTTCACATACCTCTTAAATTAAATCTTTAACAGAAGATAAACTTAATTAAACTATCCGACTGGTGTCTGAACTGCTCACAACGGCCTTACTCAATAAGCAATAGCAACTTGCGAGTTAAATTCTTTGTATAATGAAATGATTTTACCATCAAAATCGGTCCATGCCTTTGATCTCTATTGTGCCACACACGAAGGAACATACATACATTTATATATAGACTGTTAAACACAATACCCTCTCAGCACATCGCGCTTTATCCGTGCGCAGTCGGCTAAAAAGTTAAAAACTCATTCAAATTCCAATCTTTTCCGTGGTTCAGAATATAAATGTGGTAATATGTGGTCTTTTCTTATTTCGAAGTAACTACTGGTCTTTTATTTCATTATATTCTTCAAATTAATTAAATTATAAAAGACCTGATGTGGATTATGACTCTTTCCAAATAAACAAAGAACAAAACTTGCTGAGTTTCTTGCCGGTTCTTCTCAGACAAGGCCTTCTGGTAGACTCTTGAACCGATGGCATCAAAATTGACTTTCATAAGCATGCAAATTGTACCTAAATGAATAAAGAAATTTTGACTTTGACTTCTGGTGTTGTTAAATTTTAAAATAATTTTAGCAACAGTTATAGGTCACAATTTTGTTGCCGGTTCACATTATTATATCAGGTCTGTGAGATCGCAGTTTTATTTCGATCGAAGTCCTATCGTCCTATTGAAATGTTGTTAGTTCCTTTTTTATAGCTACGTAGCCAAATGACTCTACTCCACCTGGGTCTCAAGCAGTGGCGGACTAACAGGGGGCGGAAGGGGCAGCCCGCCGCGGGCCTCCGATCTTGGGGGGCCCCCAAAACCTCCGCGTTACCCTGATCAAATCCTAAACAAGACTTTAAAGAAACTAGGAAACGTGAAGGTAAAAAGAACGATACCGGGTGAATCAGCTCATGATGCTGGATTATCAATTCAAGAAGAAATACGACGGTCAATGTATGAATGCATAGACCGCTTTATACAAGAATTTTCGAATTGGGCTATTAAACAAATCAAAAATATTTTCCAAATTATTGAAACATAGTTTATGCTAGAAGCTTCAGATGACGCTCTGGCTGTAGCAGTTGACAATCTGATACAAAGTTATGGTGAATTGGACAAGACTGGTTTTAACGAAATAAACATAAGAATGTACATTTTTTTAAAGCTGGGGGCCTCATTCAGCTTTGCCGCCCCGGGCCTCTGACGGGCTTAGTCCGCCACTGGTCTCAAGTCCGTTATTTTACTAACGTCACAATGGAGTATCGATAGGGTGTCGATAGTAAATTTTTTGCCATTTGTTATTCTACAATTTAGTTTTTACAAGTGTCTGTCCAGTGACTTTCCACTGATGTGTCATTCCAGAGCCGTCAGAGCCATTGCATTATTATTGCTATCCTGCAGTACAATGAATTAAATCCCCAAATGTCTTTGTCTGTGAAGGAGTAGATCTCTCACCTCAAAGGCATTAACGCATGGTAGGAGTCCTTCAAGTCCTCGAGGTCGGAGTAGTTGGGCGGCACACTCCTCAAGGTGTCGCACTCGTAGCGCGAGTGGCCCGTGTACTTGCCCAGACCTGGGCACGAGGCGCTGCACAGAGGCCACTTGCAGCCTCGGCATCTGGATTGAAACATAGAAAAACTTCAGAAACGATATCTCGACACAAGTCAAAGTAACTGAGAACGGGTTATTTCCCTAGGGTGTTGCAGTTCGGTGTGGTTGTTTTCCAACATCCCAGGGTTTTAGTGCATAGGCCATTGAGCTACCCTTATGGGTTAGCTGATGGGTGGGTGGAAGGAAGTGGGAGGAGTCCTAGATAACCTCTACGCCTTACCCAGCGACAAGAGTAAAAAAATCTGAGTAAAAAAAGGGTGTTAGATTTGTTTGTCAAAAGGCAAAATGGTGAATATAAGCACAGGAAAAGGGGGAACTCCGAGAAAATCATGAATTTACAAGTCACCTAGCAAAAAAGTTAACGTGAAGTTATAGACATGAAACAAATAACGTTAAAGATAACAAACTAAGAGAATCTAATGTCGCTCTTTTTCTTTGATTGTTTTGGTCAATAAGATATTTTGTTGTTTGGGTAATAATGTGATGGATGGCTGCTGCTGAATGCAAATGTAATGGAAGGTGACTTCAGACGTATCTCTGAAGTCATTTTTCAACTTGATGACTCTGTATATAACAATACAGGGAGAAAAAAACAGCCCTTGCTGAGTTTCTTGCCGGTTCTTCTCAGTACAAGGTCTCCCGCCGTAGTTTTGAGAACCGATGGCGTAGCTTCTTGACCTTCACACGTGCTTGTAACAGCCTAGACTGAATAAATGACTTTTCATTTCATTTCATTAAATGACTTATCATTTCATTTCATATAGGATCCCAGTTTATTGAAAAATTTTCAATTACACATCTTGCAAATGAATCTGTTTTTATATAATTTCTGCAAAACTGGTAAGTAATAATTCTGGCGACGTTTGCGGTGAGAGTGTATGTACGCCGGGTGTCGCCTCCTCAGAGGATTCAAATCCCGCTGGGGCAAATATTTGTACGGTGAGTACAAGCAATCGTACCTGAGTATTAGATGTTTATGTATTTCTATTTAAATACTGATATACGTATCAGTAGATTTATTCTATGCGTTATCCTAGTATCCCATAGCAAGTTCTAACTTTGGGGCTCGATTAATATTGATTTGAGTGTTAGAAATATTTATGTTACAAATAATATGTCATTTCTAATTCATTAGTAGTAAATATTCTAGATTGTTATTGCATAAACAACCATGATCTGGGAACAAATATTTGTTACAATCTAAGGAAAATTTTACTACAACAGGTTTCAGAAGGTTTTTAAAACCGGATTTTCCGATATTTGGGCTCATTTCCTACAAATGCCCCTTCTGGGATTCGATCGAACCCAGAACCCCGGACAGAAGGATAACTTACCAGCACCTGGTATCCCATATAGTCTATATGTAAACCGCTTAACTGAGACCTCGCCTGCGGGGTACAGTGTGTGGGGGAGGAAGAGCAGGAGCCGTGAGAGGTGCGGATGACGGGCGCTTGTAATTTTGACAAGAATATGCCTGCCGCACGCACTTCTGGCGTTCCTCGTTTTCGTCCTCCCCCATACCCTGTACCCCGCAGGCAAGGACTCAGTTAAGCGGTCTACCTATAGTCTGTTCTCATCATGAAAGGAGGGAATGTAATAGTTCACGTTTTTATCCGTTGAAAAGAAACATGGGTAATAGAATCGAAACGATAATGTCATAAAACTTTTCTACTATACAAAATGCTTACTCATAGTTTACTATACCTTTTAGTGTTGCCGATCGATAGTCGACAACCGATGATTAATCGATAGTCTATCGATAGCCAACCAATCGTATGACAATCGGCTTATAGCACAGAAAAAGCCAATAATATCGATTGAGTTAAATACTATCGATACTATCGATAGCATTGTAGTTCGTTAATAACAAACTATCGATAGTATCGATACTGTCGATTTTATTTGCAACCATACTATTGATAGTTTACCAATTTGCAATAGTATTGTTTACAATTTTCAGGGATTATAGTCAATCACAAACTTTAGTCTAAAACAATCGCTAGTATCGATACTATCGATAGTATTGTTGCAGATAAAATCAACACTATCGATAGTATCGATACTATCAATAGTTTCTTATTAACGAACTACAATAGTATCGATAGTATCTATAGTATTACACTCATTCGATAGTATTGCCTTGTTCTGAGCTATCGATAGTATCGATACTATCGGTTGTATTGATTCTATCGATAGGCCTATCGATAGGGTACATGATTTTCGATGTAAACTGTCGATAGTTTTAATATCGATAGTTTGGCAACACTAGTTCACTAGAAACATCATTCGCTTTCTCAGCAATAAAATATATAGGTACTTTTGTGTTTTATTAATATAACTGCGATTTTTATGTATGTCGAGTAGACGTAAAACCAAGTTCGATTCAAATCTACGAACAAATAACATGATTGGTTTAATTTTACTCACTATATGCGCGCTTTACAGTGAATTGGAATTCGGTATCAAAATTGTTTTAGTAAATTATACTTTTTATTCAACTAAAACTGGATCATTTACTTATGTCTTACGTGCTTATGAATAATATTTTAAACGTGATTTTTACTATTTCAGTATTGGGCTTTGATAGGTTAGACTTTTGGTGAGATTTTTAAATAGTATTTATGAATAAGAATTGTTTTTAAATTAATCATTATCAGCTTATTAATGTCTGCTCTGTAGAGGCATAGGCCTTCCCTATGGATGGAATAGGGAAACTTGGCAGTGACCCACCACGCAGGCCCAGTGCGGATTGGTGGGTGCTAACGACTGCAGATGCAGCCAGGAGCAACGGCTTAACGTGCCTTCCGAAGCACGGTGGAGCTCGAGATAGTAATTTTTGGTCACCCATCCAATGACCGACCACAGCGAAAGTTGCTAAACTTTAACGATCGCAGCGGAACGCACTTACCACTTTCTTAATAACATTTATCAATAAAAATCACGATTATGCTGTAATATAAAATGATGACAATGAATGTTTAATTATTTTTTTAGGGTTCGTGATCCTAAAATTGATGAGTCCAGGAGGAACATACTTGATCCAGGTCAACGCAGTTTTCACTTTACCAAGATTAACAAGGACAGGACGAAGCAAAGTACGGTGAAGTAAGTTATTTATCGAATCAGTTTCCATAGAAATTCAACAAAGGATTACAATAACTAGTATACACCCCGGAAACTTCTTGAGAATTGATCACATAACTCTATGTTCTGTGGAATTGACCAAAGACAAAGAAGCCTGCGCAGTTACACAAAACCGTCTACTGCGCAAGTTTATTGTCTGTAGTTTAGTTCAAGAAAGGACAATGGGCAAAACACACCCAGCTCCGCCAACAATGTAATTAGTATGAATCGATAGATCTATGAAAAACTAGCCTTTTTTATTATGACACCATAAAAAAATATCCCGGTAGTCAAAAGGTATGACACCGTAAAAAAATATCCTGGTAATCAAAAGATTTGACACATGGGCATAGTTAATTAGCTAAATAAATCAATTTTATAGTACCTTCCTTTTATATTATTAGTAACCATAATAATAATATTCTTTATTGTATAACACCACAAAGGACATAACAGTAAGATTACACTGACAGAGAGACATTACACAATGGGCAGCCTTATTGCTTAATAGCAATCTCTTCCAGGCAACCCATGACGGAAAATTAAATAAGTATAAAGAACAAAAAAAAGGGGGAAGGGTGTAATAGCAATATTATAAAATAAAATAAAAACGGTAATAATAATATAGATGCATATTTATATGAAAAAAATAAAAAATAAACAAATAAATAAAGGAAAGAGGTATTTTCAAAGTAAAGATAGGAAATGACGCTTAACTTGCTCACGGAACGAGCCCTTCGTATGGATTCCGGTAATGAATTCCACAAGCGAACAGAATGCACAGAGTAGGAGTAAGAAAGAAAATCAGTCGAATGGCAAGGTATTTCTAGAGTGAGATTAGAAGAGGAGCGTACAATGCATTGTGAAGAGGATGATCGAAAAGAGAAGCATTGTTTTAGATAAGGTAATAATATGCCATATCGTACTATACCACCAGATATACGACAAAGCCTACCGACCATCCTGCGCTTGCACTTACTGAGACACCACAAAACGGTTTACGGGGGTTGAAGGACTTGCAGTTGCAAATAGTCGACTCGTCTTACTTCGTTGTGATTGTGCGCTCCCTGTCACTTGATTGTTTTTTATCTAACACGCTTTGGACATTAGAACACGATTATCGGTTTTGTCAATTAGTATGGATGAACTAGTATTATGTTTTCTCCGAAGCGTGGACAAGTTTGTGTGATTTGTAGTCGCTCCGTTTTACATAGAAAACTATAACGAACAGAATATTTGAAAAAACCAACCCATGCGGGGATTTTTAGATTTACACTAACGCGGCAGAATAACATAAGGGAGCACCTTTGCACCTTGTGAAGTACTCCTATAATACCGAGCCCCCTATGTAGGGTCTAACTAATTAAGTTAATTAATTCCCTTGTTTCATTTATGTTCGTTCGTTATAGTACTTATACCTATTTAACTTAAAATAACTAAAGACCCGCGGAGTGGAATATGATGCGCTTTGGCACAGATGATTATGACTATAATACCTTTGAACCAAATGTAGTTTAAGCCGTGCCGGACGTGGGTGCAGCGTCCATACATTTTTGCCCAACGTCCCTTGCCGCTATCTATAACATACATTTATTTGAAGCTAAATTTGAAATCTTTGAACAGAACAATTGGATCGCATATCCCGAACTCAACAAAAGCGCATCCCACACATCCGCAACGAGTTACGAAAAAGGTAATAATACCACGAAGCGAAGATGTCAAACAAAATAAATCGACCCCACGACCAGGTCCTGGTGAAAGCCCTGTATGGCCCAGAGCACACAAAAGATACAAAATACAGGATGCCCTACGGTAATTATCATTTCATCTGTCTACTTAATATGTAGAGCTCAGTACAGTACCCTTAGTACGAGTTTACAATAACGAAAACTATGATAGTTTTCGTGAGCTCGCACTCGCACTAAGGGTACTAATTTTATTGTTTTCGTTTCAATACAAATAAATATGTTTAAATTCTATCATTAAATCATATGCGTCTTCTTAAATTTTAATAATATTTGGTTACTTTTCACCAAAATGGACATAGAAAAAACTATGATAATTTTCGTGAGCTCAAACTCATACAGGGTACAGGTCGCGGCACGTAACTCTAGCGCTTAACAAAATGCGGAGGGGATAGCTGCGCATGGGTACGACTGGAGCCAATCGGCGCAACGTACGCCCACCCGCGCACCTCGTTTCCCCCCAAGACATCTTAATTTTTACTATTGCGCAATAACGGTCAGCGCTTGAATTTCGTGCCGCGACTTATAATTATTTTTAACAGGATTTTATTAGTTTGACCTGTATGTAATATATGTACAGAAATGTCTCCCTGACTGATCCCCCACCAGATAACCCCACTTTCCCCTAAAAGTGTATGTACTGCGATTGGGAAGTTAAAATCGAATTCTTGCCTCGGCACAGTCAACCAATTATAATTTACGAAAACAAAATTTCGATTCCGCCATTTTGTATATATATATATATACTAGCGGACCCGACAGACGTTGTCCTGTCTACACGTCTTCGTGAATCTAAACCATTCTCAGATCCCCTTGAACACACACAAAAAATTTCATCAAAATCGGTCCAGTCGTTTAAGAGAAGTTCAGTGACATACACACTCACAGAAGAATTATATATATAAAGATATATATATATATATATACTTTTGATTGAAATGAATCCTTTAATTCAGCGGTTCTTAGTATAGGGGGGGGGGGGGGGAACTGGACACAAACTAACGACTGCAGATGCAACCGGGACCAACGGCTTTAACGTGCCTTCCAAAGCACGGAGGAGCTCGAGATAGTAAATTTTTGGTCACCCATCCAATGATAGACCACTGCGAAAGTTGCTTAACTTCAACGATCGCAGTCGAACGCTCTAATTTGCTATTAAAGCGTGTTTTTTTGTTTCTTTAAACTATATTTTTTTTAAAGATTAATAAAAATTCTAAATATTGTTAATTCAGTAAAAGTGAAATATTTTAGTTTTTATACCTCTGATTGCGCCGCATTTTCTGCATGCCTATAACTCGATTTACACTTAAATTATCAAATTTGTGATCTATTGAAATTACTTATATGATTTCTGTTTTCTATAGCTAAAATATTATTTTTCTGAATTGTGTTGTAGTTCAACTATGATGACCTCTCCAGACTCGATACCTCTGCAATCAGCAGAAAAGTGAGTGGTACCTTTTGTACTCGCCGATCAGATTCTGTATAAAATTTATTCAATAAAATATTTTTGTGTGAACCTTTATCTGTTTTGTGCTGTTATAGTTTTATTAAAAATACACAATAATATAATTTTAGGGATACAACGAAACCTCCACCGAAAGAATACGATTTTTTAAGACCATACACCGTAAGTAGATATTGGTGTAGATCCTAGCATCGTTCGCTAAACCTAAACTCAAATTTGACAACAGTGCATCCTTGTCATTCTCTATTTAAAATGAAAAAGATAGACTGATGTTAAATTTAGTTTTAGTGTCGCCGCACACGGGCCACACGCCACAGCCACAAACGCCGCCACGAGAAGCTAGAAGCGGCGCGTCGTGTCGTGACGTGTCGCGGCGTTTTGTATCGGCGCATTAAGTGGCCGGTGCGGGCCACAAGAAGCGAGCAACGACGATTTGTAGCGTGTGGCGGCCACCGGCGCGGCGTACCGTATGTGGTGAGTCCATATAAAATGTATGAAAAGCACAAGAAATATGCCGGTGGCGGCGTTTTGTGGTTGTGGTCGGTGGCCCGTGTGCGGCGACACTTAGGCTTAGAGAATCATGCCAGAATCGACATTAATATAACATTATTGTTTATATGAAAACAACCAGTGTGCTTATTATGACCACACGACCGAAGTGAAACTGCTTTAGCTCCATCTGTATATATATACATGTATGTACTTATACATATGTCATTTACTAGCTCTAAGAGAAAGAGAGAAAGAAAATGTGCGCGCGCACTGCTTTCTCTTGCTTATATCCTGCACTCAACTCCCGGTCGCTTCGCCCGAAGACACTTTTCGTAACACGTCACGCATTCGCCAGCTTACCCAAAGTCAAGCGTACATAAAGAAGTTTCACTTCAACAAATATTGTTGTTGTAAGGAGAAAAATACTTTGCTAAAACACTTAAGCAGCCTAAAAATTAAATAATATGTAGAAACATGAACGTTATAAATAATTGAAGAACAAAATGCTTCCTTACCTATAAGTTAGCGATCTACCTGTTATTTCAGATAAAACAACAGCTGGAACAGTTTGCAGCTGAATGCAATGACGCAAACATAACTATCGATGTGTTAGGTCGAACTATTGAGTACCACGACATAGTTTTAATGAAAATAACTGAGAAAAAGCCGGAAGCGGACAGGCACTTCAGAGCCGACGACAATAAATACGCAGACGATGTGCCCGACAAAAAAATCATATTTATTGTTCACGCCCTTAGTTTGATGGGCGTCATGAACTTATACTGCTTGAAGGAGTTCGATCAATTCAAAGTCCTGCTGTCTTACTATTTCGCACATTTGGACAAGTTTGACATATTTCTCATACCGTTGGCTAATCCTGATGGGTTCATTGATGTGAGTATAATTCCTTTTGAGGCAAACCGCAGGAGTTATTGTAATTTTGCTACTTGCTTCATTGACTTAACTGTGTCTAAAGTTTAGATAAAAAAGTCATTCGTCATCATATTTGATTTATTGCTCTTCTCTTCTTCTTCTTCTTGCTACGGGCGTTTCCACAACTCGACGTCCTTATGGCGCCTGTTTTGCGTGAGGAGGGTGTATGGCCGGAATCACTTCAGCCAGCCCAGCTCCGCCAGGAACGCCCCCAGAGCCTTCACATTGATGACTGCCTCTTGAAGGTTTCCCGATGAGCCGAGGTATTTCGCCCGGAATTCGGCCACTCCGTTGCATGATTTATTGCTCTCATAATTATGTAACGGACCTTGACTAATACTTAGGTTTATCACGTTTAATGTATACCTAGCTTAAGGAAGCTAGATCGCCGATCTTTTCCTAAAACTGATCGGCGTCTAATGCACTTAGTTTTGCAAAATATTAACCAAATTATCAGCCTCAAAGTATAAATTTGCGGAGTATATAAATTATGTGAAAATACTGTTAAAATGCCTTAGTAGCTTTATCTAAAAGGTTGCCTTTGCCAAGCTTTGTAGCTTAAGATCACGTGCGTTAACAAATAATTCCACTTTAGTGAACTTTATATTTTCTAAAAAAATTTAATAAATTACCAATTTCCCAGGCAATTACGCACCGTCCTCATACGAATAAAAACAAGTCGCCGCAGGCTGCTTGTCCTGGTGTTGCTTTAGACAGAAACTTCGAAGTGGCTTGGAACTACACATCGTCCATCAGCTCTTGCAGTTCTCAATACCCTGGGCCTAAGCCCTTCTCGGAACCAGAGTCCAGGGCCGTCAGAGACGTGCTACACCGCTACAGCCACAAAATATTCGCCTACATTCACGTCCACGGAGGAGCCTACGATTCTGATACATTTAAAGTAAGAAAATTCAAGACAATTTCCGTTATATCTTTTTTTTTTCTAAATGGCTTCGCACAGCTTGTGCATTTAGCCAATGTCAAGTGTTAAAATGTTTACATATTCTATAGCACTCGTGGTCAAAGTAAAAAATCAAGTCAAAGTAAGTGGCAGTTAAGTCAATCCCCCTTTCCCTATGTTTCAGTAAATGTGTGGGGATTTACTGGAACCTCCCCGTGGACTTTTTGAGGGAACGTCGAAAGACACTTTCCGCTATTTTGTTTCACTTGCCAACACTTGTGAATGTTCCCGAACACTTAGTGGTTAATAATCCACCATTATTAGACACTAACATCCGCCACAACACAATGTTTAATAATAAAAACAAAACTGTTAAAGTGACGCTTCCCGATCCCGCCAAAAAGTCCCCGTTATACAGGGTGTTACAGAATTCCGAAATAAAATTTGTAGATATGTATTCCGAAATAAAAATTTGTAGGTATCTGAGCGGGGCGCAGGGGCGCCTGGGGGAGAGAGGGGGGTCTGTTTAGGTAGTAGTAATCGTACGCATTTATGGGGTTGTCATAGGTAGGTGTAAAACGATATTTTTATTAATTTAATTAGAAAATAAAAGTGGTCTAAAAGGCGTCAAACTTTCGTAGGTAATTCTATACAAGGAACACAACCAAACCCTAAAGTTTTATTTCGAACTTTTGTCACACCCTGTATATTTCCAAAACATAATTTACGTAGTTGCTACTACAAAAAAAACAGACGTACAAAAGTAACAAGTCCAAGGCAAAGTTAAAATCCAAATTAACTTTCTATCTCTCTTATCGTTAACTAGGGTGATGCTGTGTTGTATCCTAAAGGGTACTCAGAAAGCCAGTCTGATGACGATAAATACATGGACCTGCGAGGGGAACTTGATGAAGCCATGAAGAACGCCAGTTTTCACTTCATAACCGTGGCGGTGGAACCACTGTACAGTTGGTACGGGAAAGTGAGCGGTACCAGCGTAGACTACGCTTCATCGGTGGGTATTTACATACTTGTGAAGCTTGCAAAACAAATTACATATCTCCAATGTCAGACAATCTAATAGAGACCCTATAATTCAAATAAAATATATAATCTCAATCAAATATATAGCTTATAACTTAAATTAGACTTAAGTTAATGTAATAGTGTTTATACTGATTGCTAATTACAAACAGGGAATGGTCAGGGTAGGCAAATAGTCTATAGGCTACGGTGGCTTACCATCAGGCGAATATTTAGGGATGCGCCGATCCGATCCGATCATATGAAAGATCGGATCGGAAGGCATACGATCCGGTAATTTTCGGATCGGATCGAGGCCATACGATTTTTTGCCGGATCGTTACAAAACTTGAAAGATCGGATCGCTTGGATCGTATGAATTAAAACGCGGTTTGTTTACAATAAATTGGGTAGGTACTTACTAAGGTTTCTGTTACGAACTTTATCTTTGTTTACATTTTAACTTGGCGGCATTCTTTGCAGGTGGATCCGTTAATCTTATACATTCTATTATTATAAACAAAAGTTGTACCTGATTAGGTGTGACGATTATTGATAGGTTTACCAAATAAAAATCTAAAATAATTTGTCTTATTTATTGTATCCAATCCGATCTGATTTCTTGAAGATCGGTTCGACGGCATGCGATCCGATCCGCGGATCGGATCGTAGCATTACAATCCATTACGATCCGAAAAATCGGATCGACGACCCGGATCGCACATCCCTACGAATATTAAGCTTGTTTCAGCCTTTTTATTTAAAACACCAGCGATAGTCAAAGTCCTTTTAATTTGTAAAGTGTTAAAAATTTTCAGGTTTACGGAATACCATATGCTATGGAGTTTGTGATGCAACCGTACGTTAATGTATATTTTGAGAAGCTCGGTCTTCATCCTTATGAGAATTCGCATCGCATAAGTCGTGCCGCGCTCGAAGAAATATGGCAGCGAATCATAAATGTCACATTCAGCAGTATGTGGAGAAATATGAAGAATAACGATATATGACCTTGACAATACAATCTCCTTTTAATTATTGCCTAAAGATTCATTAGCTCAAATAGGTACAATATGTTCCAAAATGTAGAGACGAAGTAAAGATAACAACTACACCATGATTTGATTGTCTATAACATAATACTAATTTTGCATTTGCCTGATACTAATGACTTTATTTTCTTACTTAAAGATTACGATTTTCATTCCAAATCTAAGTATTCTATAAGACTTATGCTCACAGTCTAATGCTTTACTTTCGATTCTCTTTTCTAAATATTAAAAAAAATGTCCAATTAAACGGTCAAATGTTGGTCTGAACTTTTATATATTTTGCCATGCCCATTAACTTACATTTTAACAGCTCCTGCCCACTTAATTATCTGTGTACCTAGGTTATGTTGGAGGCATTTGGGAAGCTATGTATTATAAGCTTCCCAAATGCCTCCAACATAACCTCCATGCTTATTAAAACCCACAAGCAAGCGTTAATAATCAACTACCTAGTAATTATATGAAGTATTGGATCTATAGATTTGTGGTAGCAATTACGTGATTTATGGCTTTTGTCAAACCGTAATGCGCAGGGATGTACCTGGTCAAAGATGCCTCGTCGAGCTCGCGGTAGCAGCCGAGGCAGACGAGGCAGCAGCCACTGCACGGGCCAACAGCTAGCGCTGGCTCCTGGATAATCACCTCACCGGCCCGGATGTCCCGGGACGCAACCAAGTATCTGCAATCGAGGAGCATAATCTTCAATATACGTCAGGCCCAGATTTTTCGATGCAGCGATAAGGGAATTGGAGAATCCTGCTCATTACAAAAGACTTTCAAAGAATTCCGCTGGGATTCGAGCGCGCGTGTGGTGAAGTCTACGTTACATACACATCACACTAATATTATAAAGGCTAAAGTTTGTGAGTGTGTATGTTTGTTACTTCTTCACGTCTAAACGACTGTAGCGATTTTAATAAAATTTGATATGGAGTTAGGTGACTCTCTGGATTAACACATAGGCTACCTTTTACGGCGGGAAAATATCCCTAATAAACCGCGGGGCACAGCTACTACACCATATCTTCACCTCGCCGCCGGCGCCGGGTGCCGATCGGGACATGAATCTGATTAATTAATTCTAGCACTTGACAGCACTTAATTATATCCTTATCATGCTTCATAGGAAACAAAGAAAAGACTGCTTTAGAATCTATAAATAGTAAATACGAATACCCATGTGAAGTGCCAGTATAACAGGTAAGTAAGTAAAAATCTAATTAAAAAACAAACACTTAAATTACAGTATAGTACATTAATATTTGTTCTATCGAATGTTTGATACCAACTTGTAAAATTATCTCTTTGTAGTTATCAACATGAATGTGAAGAAATGGAACTGTATTGCATTGCAACTTAAGATATATTCAGAATAAATTCGGTAGTATAAGTGCATTCTTACAAATAGCGAAATAAGCTTTTTCGCTTCCACCGGTGTGAGACCTAAAAAACTCTACATTTAACATTTGGTGCGGGATTAACTTTTTCTTGCAAAAATCTGTTTAAAGTATATGACTATAAACAATATTCTGTATTGTGTCTTGCCGTGATAGAGAATGGCTAGATAGAGCTCCACTAAGTTAGAGTTCATGTCAGGAATATAACCGTGGCTGGAACGGAACATCTGTTTGCAGCATCTGCCATCTTCTCACAGCAGGACTCATGTACACTTAATATATTTAATTAAAGGCTGTATTGATTTGCTGAGCCACGTATAAAAAATACCCAAGCAGTTATGTCTCTGCAGAAACTCGTCAGTATCTCGCAAGAAATCGTACTATACAGTGATTGAAATGTTTTCTTCAAAGGAACATTATTTATGAATTGTTTAGTTTTTAAAAAATACGTTATTTCATATGCTGAACGTCCTCAATAAACATTCATAGCATATATAATATTTATGAGAACATTAAAGTTATATTCTACATCAAACGTTATTCCACTTTAAAATCTTCTTTAATTAACGTCGAATTAAAAAAAAATCTACACAAAGTCAGGCCAGAAGTTAAACGTACACAAACATTTTATGAGGTCTTTACTGCCTATAACATTTCTTACACTTCTATTTTTGTGGAGTAAAATAATCTTCACGTTTATTTATGTTCGTATATTAAGTTTTATTGAAATATCTGTATCTACCTAACAGAAATCTTACTTAAATCTTTCTTTACGTCATATTTATGTAATTTCTATAAAGTTATCAAACTTTGAATGAAGAAAATATTGAATGAAAGATGATTCATTACCTTCCCATAACATCAGAATGTTTCACTTCATAGCAGAGATTTTCTGGTTTTTCTGCTATCGCCGGCGCCGGCGTGTCCTCCGCTGCATCATCAGTCTCCTGCCCCTCTTTATCCTCTACAACTATGTTCTCCTTGTTCTTCCCGCCATCTCCCTTCCCCCGCTTCTTTTGCTTTAAACAAAACAGTAAATCACTCCCTGATTACGGCACCGATATTTCCACTTGGACACCTCTCCACTAATAAATAATATGGTAATTGCCACAAAAAAATATGAACATCAGATTCGTAAGCTTACACAGAATAAACGACGGAACATCCGTCGCTTTGGTGACAAATGGTCAGACTTTTTTTATGAACGGCCAAATGATAAGCTGTCTTCTGATCCACAGGGGAACCTGCGCTGAGGTGACGTATGATATTATGAATGAATTCCTCGATGGTAGGCGTTGTCTAGGTGTATTTCTGTTCGCCACTTGACCGCCGTGCCAATGGCTCGATGTAAAAATTTGTTTCATAACCCCGCCAATGATATCGGCGACCGTGAAATTTGATGGACTGTGTTACCGCACTCATACTTTTTTTGGATCAATAATACCTACACCCAATCGATGATCTGCCGATGGTCCATGCCGTGAATAGCCTCATGGATTAATATGTAATCTTATCGAACGTCCATTCATCATGCTCACGAACTCATGCCCTTAGAATTGACTAGCAAATGTGTTTTAACTGGCACTCGATGTTATATCCTATCTCTAATGTTAGCTTCTTAGTACTTCAAACCAGCAGATTAATATAAATTAAATTAACAAATGCTGCTTTATTAAAGCTAATTAAGGTGATGTTAAGTTAATCAGCTTCGTTTGAACTATATCATGCATGTTTGGATTATCATCTATAACTCTAAAGAATCAAAGCAAAATGTTTCTTCTTTTACATGTCTATTTATTGATGTCAAACAGCTGCTTTCATCAGCCGCGCTGGCCTTGACCTTTCCTGGGGCATTCAAAAATACAGGGTGTTTCGTAACGAATATTATGAAGTAAGCGCCAATCCTCCCGGCAACAAAACTGCATTAACGGCTCTATTTGCACACATTTAGAAATGTTTATTTTTATGCATGTGTCGTCGCACCGTTCGTCATATGTTTTTATTCTTCTTGTTTCTTGGCAATCGCCGGCTATCTTTTGAAAGAAGCTGAACAAAAGATCCAGTGATATTATTACATTGACATCGCCAGATGATGGTTAAATTAAATTTTATTTTGAAGATAGAAAAACATTTAAGTATTTGTGTTTGATACAACTGTCTTTAACCTTTAACAGAATTCATAAATTATTCTGAACTTTGCGTGAACTTCGATCACAGACCTCAGTTGAACATGCCATGAAGTGTGAATTATTTAGGTGAAAGATGGCTTTTATCAGTAGATAGATACCTTTCATTGATCATTAATTTGGTTAATGGGGGTTTGTCAGCATCATTGATCAATAATCATTATTAATAATCCTGACATGACAGATCAAAGATTGACAGTTATTTCTCTGTCAATCATGTATCTGTCACTAATATCATTATCAGCTTATTCATGTTCCTGCTTCATCAGCTGGAACACAGGCCTTCCTTATAGATAGAAGAGGGAGATTAGGCCATGACCCATCACGCGGGCCTAGTTAGGATTGATAGGTGCTGACGACTGCAAATGCAATGGGACCAAAGGATGATGGTCTTTCCGAAGCACGGAGCAGCTAGAAATAGTAAATTTTTGGTCATCCATCCTGTTACCGACCACTATAAAAGTTGCTTAACTTTAACGATCGCAGCCGAATGCACTGACTACTTGCACCATCAAGCTCCTCATGAAAGTATAAGTAATATTCATTAGAAATATACTTCAATCAATCTATTTTTAAAACCAGTAAACATCTTTTTCTAGTTTCACATAAAAACTAACGCGTTTTTGTCTAGAAGATATTTTACGAAAAAACCGAAATGTTTACGTATGCCAAACTTTTCAAACACTTTGACGTTATTGAACAGAAAGATTTAATACTTGGTTATAAAGTTCATTTTAATTAATCTGGCTTCAATACTTTAGTTTGGTAATCAATATTCATCATGCATATTACATTTTTCGTTTAAAGTAATCAGATACGAATGAATGTTTAGTTATTTAGTGTTTGTTTCAAATTATCATCTGCTGGGGTACAATAACAACATATATACGTATCAATATCTGCCTAACTACTTCAGAGACACAACCAGATAAATTATATTTATTAGATGAATTTGCAGACAGCCAAAATCTTACTTATGAAATGTAGAAAACATCCCAGTTAAATCATTTGGCTAAATATATTATTCTTAATTTGGTTTGGTTAAAAGCATTTTAAGCATTCAACATCGATTCTTCCAATGAGATGATATTTTTTTACATATTTTGAAAATAAGAATGCTAAAAGCGCAGATGCTACTGTCATTTTGGCAGTTTAAACAAGCGGTTCGGGAACAATGAAAAATTATTCAGAGGCTATTGGCTAATTTTATGAACGATTTGTCTTTCGTCGAATGTTTAACAGCACAAGTGGAGTGACGGCTCTTCAACACGTCCACGCCCGCTGATCGTGGGAGAGACATTCTCTTTGTAACATTCAAATCATTTTAAATATTTAATCTTGTTACATGTTGAACAGACAAGTTAGTTTTGTTCATGATAATATTTTGTGGATTTCAACCATAAATCAAGTCGAGTGATATGGAAATCAGAATAACATATTTAGAAATATATGATTGTCCTTATAATCTTCAGAAAAGAATTCTTCCTGATCTCTATATAATTTTAAGTAACTTGTCATTAATTTCATTTGATTTAATCGTTATTTTTTCTTGTTCTGAAAATCTACTAGAACTTGTAATCTGACAGACATAGCTTTGTTTTTTATTTATTTTTAGGCATTTAACTGCTAGATGTTTAAACTGTAATTGCTATTTCTTCTTTCAAATGTTTAATACTTGAAAAAGTATTCATTTGACATTGTGGGTTACCTACATTGCGAAGAGATGGCGCTGCCTTGCAGCTTAAGGCTAGCAAAATTTCGACGCGGCCAATAGGGCCGTGGTAGCATAATGGTCAGTGCATCCGCCCGGATTGCGAAGGGTGCGGGTTCGAGTTCCGTCCGCTGCCTGGTCCGCGTGGATTTTTTTTCTAGTAAACTTTTCTTTAGATTTAGACATAGCATAGCTAGTTTTAATTTTATTTCGAAAAATAAATCAAAATAGTTCTAAGCAGACAAAATAACTACAAGATGATATCATTTGCCCACATCAAAACCACGACGTCTAAAAACGTTACAAGAGCGGATGTACGCGGAAATTTTATAGGTAATTGTGTTAGTGTGGTGTTAATTGGGCTGCCCATCACGTGACGTGATATCGGCCCTGGGGACAGCGCTCCCGACCATGTGTCTGAAGGCAGAAAACATACGTCAATGTATTTATTTATTTATTTATTTTTAGGGAAATAACAGCATTAATTTTTACATAAAAAATATAACATTAGTTTAAACAATTGCCTAGGTAATTTCCACTATTAATTATCTCACATAGTGTCTAATAAACACGAGAGAAAAAAGAAACAATTTTTGGTATCATAATGAACATAAACAAAACAAAAAGAAATAAGAATTTTGTGCCTAAAACGAGTTAAAAAATTAGTTTTTTAAATTTCAAAAAATTAAGATTAAATATATCAATGTGACTATATTTAGAGTTATATGATTTCATAGCTCGCACAATGTAGCGATTACTTGCATAATTAGTCCGACCCGCGGGAATGCAAAACGTCAATGTAGCGTTTACTTTGGGAATTAACATTTAAATTGTATGAAAAATACTCTTAAAATGTAAGAGTACTGTTGAAATATATCAACAGGAATGTATGGTTTGCTGTCGGGAGAGGTCGTAAGCGTAGAAACTTAACGATGGAAATGCCAAGTATTAAAAATCTTGTATTATATTGGATATACAACAACCACAACCGCCCAGGTTCCGACAGTTAGACAAATGTACATTCTAAGGTCTACTTTAAGACAACACGCTAAGACGCCTGTACGTAATGATGACACAACAAGCAGAAGAAGACCAAAACCTGTTTGCCCCCGCATCCACTGTAGAACCAGTTTTGCTAATAGACAAAGTTTATCGACACACACTAGAATATATAACAAAATTAGCCAAATTCTTAACATTATTAAACTATGATTTTATTTATTTTTAAAGCATTTTAACTGCTAGATGTTTAAATCTAAACAAAACTTTACTAGAAAAATAAATCCACGCGGACCAGGCAGCGGACGGTACTCGAACCCGCACCCTTCGCTATCCGGGCGAATGCACTGACCATTATGCTACCACGGCCCTATTAGCCGCGTCGAAATTTTCCTAGCCTTAAGCTGCAAGGCAGCGCCATCTCTTCGCATTGTAGGTAACCCACAATGTCAAATAAATACTTTTTCAAGTATTAAACATTTGAAAGAAGAAATAGGAATTATAGTTATGATTTTATTTATTTTTAAAGCATTTAACTGCTAGATGTTTAAATCTAAAGAAAACTTTACTAGAAAAAAATCCACGCGGACCAGGCAGCGGACGGGACTCGAACCCGCATCCTTCGCTATCCGGGCGAATGCACTGACCATTATGCTACCACGGCCCTATTAAACTAAATAAGTATGAGTTTAAGACCAAGGTAAAAGAGTGGATACTAACGCGCACTTACAGTGAAACGGAACATATACTATTTTAAAATACAAGAATAATATACAAATACTAATAATATTCAAATATCACCCCGTATCGTTTCTGGCGCAAAGGTGCCCATTATGCTTGCAGCATTGCCACGCTGGATGGCAATAGACAATCTTTGTGCCAGAAACGACCCGGAGCGAGGGTCATTAGTTTTTTGCCTGAGTCGGCGGCCCAGGTCCCACACAAATTGCTTGGCCTCTGCGCTCCAACAACCCGCCGTTTCCACCGCCAAAGGCACGAAAATATATCCTTGCCCCAACGAGGAATATTTTAAGCGCTTCGCCGTTGCCTGATACTCAGCCGCCGCCCCAGCCCTGCGTGTCGTGCGGCCGATGTGGGTAGCGGCGAAAGTGCTGACACACGT